GTGTGTGTGTGTGTGTGTGTGTGTGTGTGTAGTTGGCTTAATGGCATTTGAGCCAAAAACAGAAAGAAAAAAAAATTGATTTAGGCAGGTTTCGTAGACAAGAAGTTGAAGGGGCGTTTGTTTTATTGATGGACTTCGTCTTGACATTGAACTTCCAAAAATATGCGCACATTAGATTTGACTACCCTGTAAAGTCAGGCAAGGGGCATGTTAGGCGCCAGGCGAACGCCTAAAGCAACTCAGAGAGGAAATGGAACTCAGAGATCGTAAGAGCTAGAAACGGAATATTTTATCACTAGCAATACCCTGTACTACAGTTTTGCTGCTCTTCTTAATATTGACACAAAGAAAAGAAATAGAAAAACATATTAGATCAATCCAAAAGTCGATCAAGTCTTAATTAAACTCTCTAACGCGGTTAGACTTAAGTATATTTGCCTGCAGGGTATCGCCTAGTCGAGCACTTGAAAGCGTTCGTACTCGCCTTTGTCTAAAGATTAATAAACTTCCGTTTCGCTCACAATACGACTCATAAATCATAAAAACGTCGCGTTACGACTACGCCCGACAAATGCCTTGAAGTAACGACCATCAAGAATGTTTCAGATGCCTTTCACAAATCTGATTAAGCGCGGGCTATATATAGACTTCTCAAGTGTTCTATACACTCTGTTTAAAACCAGATCTCGACAGGTGCAAAAGTATCTTCCATTGAAAGAACTCTTTTTGCTCTTCCCAACCGCAACTCCATTTATTACCTGGAATCGAATCGAAAATAAATCTATAAATGAATATATGTATACTTATATATGCCGCATTTCTGCTACTTCTTCTTTTTGCTCCATGCTATGCAAGTGAAATGAATTCTTAATTAACTTCGTTCGGTGCTTAGAGTCCGATCTCTATGAAATTTGCTGGGCTTAAGCATGAGCTGCCAAAGTGTAAGGAGGAAATGGAAAAAGTTAAATAGCTCTTTATCTATATTATATATATACGATATTGACAAGAGATATTGATAAACTTGTTCTGCATTTGGCAATAGGAAAACATATATCAAATTGCAGCTTTCTAGCTTACGTAATTCCCGAAATCGACAGCCGATAGACGTCGACCTGATCAAGAATATATATGTATATGCCTATGGGTTAGAAGCTATCTTCTTCTGCCTTCGACATTTGCACTTCTTTTTTAATTTTCAATAGGTTAGGAGTAAAGCAAAAACAGTTAACCGATCCTCGAACCAAACCCCTCAACCATGGACTTGGACGTGAGTTTGGGAATTGGGTTTATCGAACCGAACTTTGACTCGAGTTCGAGTTAACAATGATGAGATATGATGAGTTAGAACAAGTTTGAAGTTACATATAATTAATCTAGTATAGTTGATTTGATAACCAGTCTTGGCTGGCAATTTGAACACGCAACCTATTTCACAGCTGCCCAAGTAACTTGTTTGCTCGGGCTTTTTTTTTTTTGTATTTTTTTTTTGACGGGCATTCGAACATTCTCCAGCTTTAAGTATTTACCTGTAACCTTTTCAAGGGCTTTCCACTTCAATTGTCTTGTCTCCAAGTGGAAGATTGAGGGTCTTGGATGAGACCCTTGGGCCCCGTCAATCAGGCCCCGATTAACTGACTTACAGCTGTGGTTTTAATTTTGTAACTCAAGCAAAGCTTTGAAAGCTTTCCGAAAGCTCTAAAGCTCACGCTTAAAAGCAGCTGCAATTTTTTGTTGCGAGCTTAACTATATCTGTATTAAAACTCAGCCTAAAAGCTTGCTTGAAAGCTTTGACCAGCTAATATGGCTCGCTGCTGTAGGGTATTTAGCCGTTTAGGATACACGACACGTTCATCTCACCTTCACTTTCACTTCGGTCGCCTGCTTGAATTTGATTCAAGTCACGATCTCCAGAACTTTAGGGGATCAATTCATTTGTTCTCAACATATTGTGCAGTTATCGTCAGACGTCGGTGACAAGGCTGATTAAAAGGCACCGCACCGATGATTATTTATCTATAATTATAATTGTTCGTCACGCTTGTCGCTGCCTGATTACAAAAATGCCCAGATAGACCTTTTTAATTTATTCGACTTGCTTTTATCATTTGCAAACCTTCGCCTTTGCCTTTCATCTCTTCCAGCTGCTCAGATGCATACCAATTGCAGAGCACTTGTTTCGACTGCTTATCAGTTCCTCGATAGAGCATCGTGCCACTACTCTACTCGGGTTGCGGGATTGTGGGGATTGTGGGGCGCCGAGTTAACTGTGGATGAAATCCAAGAGTTCCTTGGTAAAAATTGGCACATTTTAGTTACTTGATCTTACACTTTTTGCTGAGTATCAATAACTCTAGGCTAAGAAATATATTGATATATTTTATTCCAAACATCTGCAAATAGATGGGAATAAATTACAATTTCCTAAATAGGTACTTGAGGCGTTTCTTAACTTTGATTTCCCCGAATATTCGCATTGGGAAGTAACTAAATATAATCAAAGGAATAACGAGTCGATTAAGGATATACAGTAGGGAGCAAAAGTGTTTCCATAGTTGACACTTTGAACTTTGTGAGTCAATAATATCCAAACGAATGAAGCAAATAAAAAAAAACTTTTTTATCCAATAGTATGTATTCAATTCTTAACAAATTGCCGTATATAACAAAAACAAAAATAAATCAGCAAAATATTCAAACAAAAAAAACTAAAACAAAACGCATGTGTACAATTTTGCACCTTCAGTGAAAAAAAATTAATTATAATTTATTATTAATATCAATATTTTGTCCACAGACCCTTTTTAGCTATTACACTTTTTATTCTACACTTTTATGATCCAGAAAATCACGTGTTTCTTATTATTCGAAGCAGATTTGTTGATTTTACCAATTAGTCTATAAAGTACCGCGAAAAAATGAAGAAGCTTTCGTCAGATGTCGAAAATAGTATTATTAGCCTAACTGAAAGTCGCCGTTCGACTCGTAGTATTGCAGATCAGCTTAATATTTCTCATTCAGCGGTGTCCAAGGTCCAGAAAAGACGCAAAAAAATAAAGGCCGCAAACGCCTCTTAAAGGACTCTGACGCCAGACTAATGATGTCGAAAATGAGAATTGATAAGTTCCTAACACCGAAGAAGGCATCTATGGACTTAGGAAAAGACCTGAGTCGGTGGACGGCTAGAAGAGCACTAGCTAATGTTGGATATGTGGCAAGTGTGAAACAAAATAAACCAGCTCTATCCGAGAAGAATGTCAAGGCTCGATTGAACTTTCGCCCGGGAACACAAGAACTGGACTGTAGATGATTGGAAACGTGGTCGGATGAATCCAAGTTCAATCGTTTTCAGTCGGATGGCAAGCAATACTATTGGCACAGGCCCGGGGACAAGCTTCAAAAACACCATGTGAAGCAAACCGTTAAGCATGGGCATGGAGGAGGCAATGTCAAAGTTTGGGGATGCTTTACTTGGTGGCACATTGGACCATTGCATAAAATTGATGGTATAATGTTCAAAGAAGACTATCTCAATATTTTGCAAACCTATCTAGCCAATTTTCTGGATGGGGACCCGAAGCACACTGCCAAAATTGTCCGCGAATGGTTACAAAACCAAGATTTTATGCTGATGGAGTGGCCAGCTCAAAGTCCCGACCTCAATCCGATTGAGAACCTGTGGGCAATATCAATCAATGCCATCCAACCTAGACGATCTTTGGAAGCGTGTAGAACTGGAGTGGAAACGAGTTCCAAAGGAAACCATAGAGAACTTTGTCTCGAGAGTATGCCAAACCGAATAAAAAGTGTAATAGCTAATAAGGGTCTGTGGACAAAATATTGATTTTGAATCATATTTAAAAATAATAAATTGTTAAGAACTAAATAATTAAATCTTAAAGCCCTTTGGTACGCCCTTACCAATATGGTACCTCCGTGGGTTTTAGATAGATATATGGATGTCTGCTTGATATTTCGAATCAGGAATAGATGCTCAAGTTTTCTATTGTTAATTGATTTGGGTCCCAGCGCCAGGTCCTTTCAGGACCTTATAAAACGAATTCATACTAAAAACTTTTCTGAAAACTGAAGAACAACCAAACTTATGTATCTACTATTACAATAGTTAAATTATTACAAGGTGCGCCGACGGGTCTTAAGGATTACCAGTTGGATTACCAATAAAGGGTTCTAACTTTCCTTCTTAAATCTGTTATCTTCGATGTTATTTTTTCAAACATTGATTGTTATTGAATCGAAAATAGCATAGATTTTGATGAGAACACAGTTAGCTTAGATGATGTTCCGCCAAGCCTGGTCGGGTCCTCAGGCTTTATGTATCTATATAGATCTATTGATGCTTATTTGGGTACTAGTGCTTGGAAGGGTGGTATAAGAGCAGTCCTGGCACAATATGTTGGATTAAGTCCTAAGATTTAACGTTTGGAATACCATTACTGAGCTCTACTTATCTTATTGAGTACTCGGTCTTCCTGGTGTAGTATAAAAGAATCCTCAAAAATATAAATGTCAACCTTTACAATAGATTAGATTGTAGTTGATAGCAATGATTGTGGAATACCCTGACAGAGCTCCAACCAAAGACTTTACTTAATTGTAGTTTAAGAGGAATTCTAGCATCATATTGTAGATGGAGTTCTTGGGATTACCGAGTCGAAAGCCATTAAAGAGTTCAACTCTGTTGTCTTCAATCTATTGATGCTGATTTGGGTACTAGAGCTTGCACAAGCTTGAAGATAGCAAGTCCTTATACTTATCCAATGCAGAATTTAAACTTTCTTTAGTAACTCTACTTAGACAAATGCCTCCACAAGATGGTAGTTGGATAGAGTCCTTAGGATTACCAGGTGAAATACAATTAAATAGAGTTATGTTCTAATCCTTTGTAGCTCATCAATGTGCCATCTATTTATATTGATAGCCAATTGAAATATCAGTGCATAGTTCTAATCCGCTGTAACTCTTCCATCTCGTTGCAATAGCTCTGACGGCCGCAGGATGATTCCAATTTTGGAGAAACTGAGCGGCTTCTACAGCAGCTATGTGCTGGGCATACTCACCATTGGCTATATACTGGGCGAACTGGGTCACTATCTGATTGGCGTTACGTCCAAGCAGACGGCCATTGAGCTGGACTACGGCGATCATGCCTGCCAGCAGAACAGCAGCCTGTTCACGCGCCACGAGCTGGTCACCCAGTGTGCGGACGTTAAGAACGAGACCAGCTGCTATGCGCTGGACATGAACGGTACCGGTTACTGCGAATGGAACTACAATGGGCTGGGCATCGATTATCAGATATTGGCGGGACCCACGTTCATATTGGTCTTCACCATAGCTGGCGTCTTTATGGGCTTTGCGGCCGACAAATACAATCGGGTCAAGATGCTGACCGTATGCACCATCATCTTCGGTATTGCCATTCTGCTGCAGGGCACGGTCAAGGAGTACTGGCATCTGGTGTTGCTGCGCATGGTTATGGCTGCCGGCGAATCGGGCTGTAATCCCCTTGCCACGGGCATCATGTCCGACATCTTTCCGGAGAACAAGCGCGCCCTCGTCATGGCCATATTCAATTGGGGCATCTATGGCGGCTATGGTATTGCCTTTCCCGTCGGCCGTTACATCACCAAGCTCAATTTCTTTGATATGGGCTGGCGTGTTTGCTATTTGGGCGCCGGCATCCTAACGATTATCGTTGCCGGACTGACGGGCACCACGCTCCGCGAACCGGAACGCAAATCCATTGGCGAGGGCGATCGCACCTCGGCCAGCGGCAAACCCGTCACACTGTGGCAGGTCATCAAGAGTCCGGCCATGATAATGCTAATGATAGCCGCCTCCATACGTCACAGCGGCGGCATGACCTTCGCCTACAATGCGGATCTCTATTATAATACCTATTTCCCGGATGTCGATCTCGGCTGGTGGCTATTCGCCGTCACAATTGGCATTGGCAGCGTCGGCGTTGTCGTCGGCGGCATTGTCTCCGACAAGATTGTCGCCAAAATGGGCATACGTTCGCGTGCATTTGTCCTGGCCGTGAGCCAATTGATCGCCACACTGCCTGCCTTTGGATCGGTCTACTTTGAGCCCTTGTGGGCGATGATAACGCTCGGCCTGAGCTACTTCTTTGCCGAAATGTGGTTCGGCATTGTGTTTGCCATTGTCGTTGAGATTGTGCCGCTGCGCGTTCGCTCCTCGACAATTGGTGTCTTCCTCTTTGTCATGAACAACATTGGCGGCAATTTGCCCATTCTGGTGGATCCTGTCGCCAAGGTCATCGGATATCGCGGCTCCATCATGATCTTCTATGCCGGCTTCTACGGTGTCAGTAAGTATCTCAATAATTGCTTTTTATTTATATTCATTCCACTTTCTTTATCCTCTTGTTAACTGAATTTAACAAGCAGTTTAAATATTACCAGTATTGCCACCTAACTGCAAACTGCACCACACAATAACTGTAACTGTCTGGCCTTGCCAGCTCGTCCACTTTTTCCTTGGCGTTGCCACCTAGCAAAAAACATCAAAACAATAGAAAGTTAACCGTTAGCTGTGGTGAAGACCAACAGAAATATATACATATAAAATACGTGACTTGAATTGAAAGCTGGAAGTTCAATAAATTGGGTGACCCCAGCCTTGGAATCTAAACTTTCAGCTGGAGGAAGATGGATTGGGAACATACAATGTTGTATTTATGGGCAGGTAGTGCATTAATTAAGAATCAGACAGAGAAGAGAAGAGAAGAGAAGGAAGGGGAAAAAGAAAGTAGAGTGCTTCAGAGAGTGTCCGACTAGGAGATACTGCGTACTCAATACACTTTTACTTGACCTCCCCAGCCCCCCACTATGAGAAATGTATTCCTGCATAACGTCTGTGTTGATTTCGCGATTTTCAGATCTTAATAGAGACCTTACATTGGGTTTATATGCCTCTAATTGAGGCCGTACCTCTTATAATGATTATAATGATTTGGCGAGTGGGAAAGGGAAGAACCTGACTTAATATTAATATTCCTCAGTCTGTTAAATGCATTTGCAATATGGAATACATATAGAAAATTGTTGTATGGAGTGGGACTAATAATGGGCATATATAGACATTATATATTTAATATTTATAATTTCTCACCTTTTACGACAGCATTTCGCTATTGCTTGCTATTGCTAGGTATATGAATAGTTGATTGTGATAGGGCGATTATCAGTAATTGTGTCTATCATGTGTTCCAAATTTTCAACGGTTATTCACGTGGTAGGGTCAGCCGTACCAGCCGCGGCACTGAGCCACAGCAGTTGCTAATTTGTACACTTGCTTCAACCCCGACAGGCTCCATACTGTTCCTGATCACCTGTTTCCTGCTGGAGGGCAAGGCCAAGCCGAATGCCACGGAGCAGGAGTCACAGAAGACGCATCCGGATGCGGTATTGAATGCACGCCAAATGCACGGACATGACAACTCGGTGTTCAGTGTGGACGAGTCGCTGCCCTCGAACGGACGACCCGTCCAGCTGCCGCAGCACCTCCAGATGTCCAGCAACGGCTACGAGAAGTCACAATCGACGCAGCCGCGTCACAATGGTGCCGAGAGCAGCAGACTGTAGTATTATGACAAGTCCAAGTGTCAAAGTGTCAGACAGACAAACAATCGAAACAGATTTTAATTAACAATAATATGGCAAAGTGCTTCTTTTTTCTTTTCCTTGTTAAAATATGTGTGCAGACCGTGTACATGTTTATTAATTTCGAAAATTTAACCAGATGGTACAGAAAATTGGCAAGTATAAAACATGTGTATATAATAAAGATTATATATGATATTCAGGAGCAATCAGCACAAATGAAATATTTAAACATGCCTAGATTAGTTAAGCTTCGTTCATTGTAACAAAAAAAAAACAAAAAACACAACATTTCCAATGCAAAAATAATTCAAAATCCGAAAGTTTTTAAACTTAAACCAAAACATAACTGCTGAAAATAATATGAATTGGATTCTGCGAACTATAACAAAATGTCCAATGCAAAAATAATTCCAAATCAGAAAGTTTTTAAACTTAAAAACTTAACTGAACAAAAAAAAAATATACACTGGATTCTCTTTCTACGACTTTGCTGTGTTAATCTTCGGTTGAGGAGACAGCATAAAGTGCAACTAATCGAATATCAATAGCTTCCAATTTGTTTTTTTTCTTTTAATTATGAAGCTTACTTTTTGTTCTTTTATAAATAATTGATTTTGATCACTCAAAGTAGAGCGCAAGTAGTCGTATTGTTTTCTTTTTTTTTTTTTTTATGTATTAATATTATGATTATAATTATGAAGCTTATTTTTTGTTCTTTTGTAATATAATTGATTTATATAACTTTTGTAAAAAATTGACTTAGTTTTAAGCGAGAGATGATCGTACCAGTTAGTCTTAAGCCCTGTGGACCAACTCTCTCTACCTACCTTGGGATGCGTCCATACGATCTTTCCCCTTTGTACTTAATTTGATAAGTTAAATCCATATGTATGTTATATGAAAATCACGAATAAAACCTGTTTTGTTAATTCTAAAAATGAACATAAACTCGGTAGTGCAGTGCAGTCGGGTACAACCGACTGCGAAGATTCTGTTAACAATGTTTTAACCGGAACTCCTTTCTGTTAGCCGAATCGCAGAAATTCCCAATTTTGGATCTTCAGAGAAGCTCAAGAGCAGTCTATTTGTTAAATTTGGTGAATCACTCTGTAAAACTGTCGGCAGTTACGACTTCTTGAACTTTGACTGCCTCACAATGGGCGTTGCGCGCTGTGTGATTCGAATATATACATACATACATATATGTGTATATACTTCACATATCATGTGTCCAGCTTCGTAAGCGGTTAATACGACCAAAGATAAACAGAGGAAGAAGAAGCAACAACTGCGCGCATTAATATGTGTCCATACATATGTACCTACCCCGAGCTCTTGAGAGCGAGATAACGTCGACTTATTTTATGGGTAAGCAGAGCTCTCACGACTGACTCTTCAGATCCTCCACCATGCAGAAGTTGCCAACTATTGTTTTATGACTGGAGCAGCATTTCAATATATGTACACACACACACATGCATGAGCATGTGTGCATGGGTGTGTCTGCAGCGCTTGGCAACAACAGACGATTGGTTCTGTTTAAAGCGCAGACGACGACTGGCAACGAAAAGGAAGCAGCAATAGCAGGAGCAATAACAAATAACAAGCGCTGGCTGCGGCTGCGGCGAATTCGCCAAAGACCGGCGAATTGCGTCGTTTGCCTTGCGTCTGCTTTCTGCGCTGTGCGTGAGTATGAGTGTGTGTTTGTATACGTGTATGTTATTGGTATGCGGCAGCTGTGTGAAGGTTGCGGCAAGAAGCAGTGTTGCCACACTCCACACTTTTGCGCATTTTCGTTTGTTTAATGTTGCTGCGTACAATTTTGGTGTGCAAATAATTTCGTTATGCATAATATTATACAATAAGACATTGAAAACTGTATATAAGACTTACTAGAACCACAGATACATAACTTTGTCTGTTGGTTGTGACGTCACACGTTCGTTTTGATCCAAACTAAGCAACCTATTCGTTTTTGCCAACCATGCCAGGCACAACGAAACACATATCGCTTGCCGATTGCCGTCATTCGAGTTCCGACTTCAGAAGTGTGAACCTCGCCAAAGTGAGCGTTGCAGCGGACGCTGTTTTGATGCAACAACAACAAGAACAACAACAATTACAACTACAACTGCCACTGCAACTCAATGGAAATTTAATATCCACACAATTACGGTAAGTTGCATAGATTAAGGAATATTATTAAATGGTAAAACGGTAATATTTTCAAGCGGTGGCTGTGGACATATTGCTCTTGTTAATAATTCAATATGGCATAAAATACGTTTGCGTTCGTTCGGTAATTTTTTCTGTTTGCATGTGTGCGACTGTACGTACATAAATGTGTTCGTGTGTGTCGCGTTAATGTGCGTTTGCGTCTGTGTATATGTGTGTCTGTGTTTCTTATTTTGTGATTATTCTTTCATTGTGGTTATGTTTCGCGTTTATCAAGTGCGCTGTGTTGATCAGTTTCGTTTTAATTTCATTCTTTGGATAGTTTTTTTTTTCTGCTTTTTAAAAACAAAATGCTTTACTACTATTTCATCATCTTTCAGTGATCGCGGCGTTTTTTAATGTACTGGCAAGTGTTGTAAAAAAAAATACTACATTTGGTATTTTTGAGTGGCTTTCAGATCAAATTGCTTTCTTAATTTTCCTTCTTGGTCTCCTTGGGAAAGCTTTATTCCAAAAAAAGTTTTCAAGTTGATCAAGAATTTAAGGCCTATAAAGTTATGAAAATAAAAAAAGGGAATCAAATGCTTTTTACAAACTAGAAAGACACGTTTTGATCGCATTGTCAATTGTTGCAAAGTTTGGTATTTTTGGTATTTTGTTTTTTTTTCCAATTGACGGAAGATAGAATTGCAATCATTGGATTTTTTTCAGAGACCCTAACATATTCTAGTTCCGAAAGAGTGCTTATTTGAGAGAAGCTTTTGCCGCTTTTGCTGCCTGTCTAGAAGCTCTGTGATCAACTACAGCTCTGTTGATCGGCAAACAAACATAAGCATGGAAATGTAAATTGTGCATTATACAAAATGGCGGCACATCGTTGTCTATCCCAAGCCAAGCTACTATTTCACCTTTCAGAGATCCAGAGGCCTACAACGCACAGCCAATAAAATCTACCGAAATGTAGTATTTGGGGCAGAAACGAATGGGTCACATGCGTGTTTGTCAGTTGGCAGATGAATGGTAACTAAGTCATCCCGTATTCCATTGGATCTTTTTTTTTTATATAATTTGATTTATTTTGCGCTGAAATCGATCGATAATCTTCTGATCTCTACCAAGCCAATGTATGTAACTTATGCAATATTAACATAGAGGGATATTTGAAATGAAGGGTAAGGAGGTATTTAAATGATTCGCCTCGTAGATAGGTCGCCGGGGTGGAGCCTTTGGAGGCGCCTCTCTCTTCTGGGCTCAGCCAGGACACTGGCATCCGCGTTCGGATGCAGCAGCAACCTGTCGGTCTGAAGAAGCTTTTCTGATCTCCGACCTTTGTTAGGCGGTGATCGCATTCGACCATTGGATCTACATAAATTATGGTAGTAGATGCATAAATCTCATTCAATTACTATCATTTCCACAACTCCATAATTTTGTTTAAGTTAACTATTCGATAATTCCCAATGTTCTGAAGCTTTCCTAAATAATGAGAAAGGCTAAATCGTTCAAAAAGGCTCATGCCGTATTGGACCCGGTTGATAGATACATTTAGGGGTTTTCCTGATGGACGCTACCTTCGTAGTTGTTATGGCTACTGCTAAAGTTCTCTGACCTTGTCTAGACTTGTTGTTGGCCTTAGTACTAAGCTTAGCTCTATAGAAGTAATAGATCGCTTTGAAATTTATAGGTACTCTGCATATAACAAAGCTGGAAATGATCGATTCTCGGAATATAGAATTGCCCCTCAGTAAGTTTACTTAAGTTACTAGGTTTGGGAACCTCTGCTATAGGACATGCGGTTCACAGGAATTCCGAATGACTTTCGGAATAGTTGATGTATATGTCGGCTTTCAACTCGCCCGGCCATCAAATTCCATCGCAAAGTTCCATTAGGCTGAAATGTTAATATTGGATTTACTAAAGAGGAAGAAATAATGAAATGAAAATGGTGGAATATGAAACGCTGACAGATTGAAGCGTGGCAAATAAGCAGGATTCAACAAAATGAAATACAGATTGAAATGTGTAAAATGAAATGAAACGAACAAAATAACGAAGACTCACAAGCTTTATTAAAACCTACCTATCAACTCTATGGGTCAGACTTGCCCAGCGAGTAAATGGAACAGGAATTAAACATACCAAAGTTGCAAAAGAATTGGCATAAAAAGAAAACCAAAGGGTGTGACCAATAAATATAAATGACAATTGCCAACATCCCGTCCACGGAGACTTAACCGATTCCATGGTTAATCGTTGAAGTTTTACGGGAAAGATGAAAGTGGTGAAAGTATTGGCCACACATTTTTTCTCTGATCCTGTGCCTTATTGGGATGATAATGCCTATTAAAAGCGCAGAGCTATAATATATTGTAGAGCAACTAAATCCGAGTAATAAAAAAGTAGAGTACGCTAACTCTCTTCTGCACAGCCTTAAAATACCAAATCTTAAAGTAGAAGAAATACTTTTGGCAAAATAAAAAGCAGAACATTTGAAATCCACATATCTAATGTGAAATTAAAGATTATTCAAATAATTTAATGGAGCTTTTTGCTGACGCTGAGCTTGTAAGCTATAATCTTATCTGTCACGGGTGTGTTGACAAGTCTCACCTATAAATAAATATGCTTTAGATGCAATTGAAAGCGACCAAAGTATATATATATTCCTAATCAGAATCAAACATATTTAGCAGTTGCGGCTATAGAGGAATATGCCCATCACATCGTTTCCCCAAGTTAGAATGGTCTAAAAAAAGCTAAAAAAGAATATATTATCATGGGCGAATACATAAGTCGAAAGCGTATGCATCGCCAAAGTACTTTTAATTTGCTGATGCATTACTTTTATGAATACAATATGTATATATATTTAGATTAAAGTCTTGCAAGTTGTAAAAATTCAAATCTCAAGTCGCATTTAAATGCATAATCCGTATATATATTGATAGTTGTATGTGTGCAATATCCGGACCGCCTTTAAGCTCTTATCATTTGTTGTATTTTTTTTTACTCTATTATTTTTTGCTACAGATTATCAACATCCTCTAGTTGAGGGCAACACCCTTTAATCGACCGTACCATATCGTACAACACTTCGTCCTTTCCGGGCAGAAGGTCGAAACGCGTGTGTCCAGAACATCTTACCGAAGTGTAACCGAATCGTACCTCCATTAATGTCATAAATATATTAGGGCAACAAACCAAAGCGGGTCACGGTTCAAGCCAAAGCCCCTTCTTAAAGCTCCGATCGTGAACCTGGTTTCTTAAATCTGCTAATCCAGGTTTGGAGTCGCACAAAAGAATTTATTCAAAGAAATTGTACTAACATTGATTGACTTATTTAAATTATCAAGATTTGTATATTTAGAATACTGAAGCTATTGTTAGGGGAATGCTCAACTTCAGCTTTTGCAACAACACGTTTAAAAGAAAGCAAAAGCGCTCTAGTCGGTAGTGCCCATATAGGGGATACCCTGAACCTTCTTTAACCAACACCAAATGCAGGTCGCGCACTCGTTTGCCTTGGTCTTACCATTTCCCTACCTATTTGATGGGTAAAGGAGTATTCCGGCATTATTCAAATTAGATTAAAAAAATATTTGAAAAAAACTCACAACTACCTTCGTTCGACCAAACGATTTGCCATCGTCCCATGCCTCACAACCATTCTAATTATTGATTTTTAACACTAACCACACAACAAACAGATGGGACAGCTGAAACACAAAAGGGTAGCCACTCATTTTCTGTGCGTCAGGTCCCGCATCGACTTCATTTTGGCCCGGGGTTCGTAACTCTCTCACATGCTCAGAGAGAAAGAGAGTTGGAGAGCCAATATGCTTTGTGTTCTTTCGCTCCCACTACAGGTAACTGTTTTGGCTAACTCTCAGTGCTCTCAACGCTCGCTCATTAATGTCAAAAGATCGTTTAAATGTATCTATGTGTGTGTAAGAAATTGAATTTTTCTCAAATTTCGGTCGCATTTCTTTCATTTTGATGGAACGAGTGATATGAAATGAAAGAGGCGAGGAAATGGTTATTGTTGTAAGGCAAGGATGCCCAAGTAAAAGTTTTTGGAACTTCTGAATTTTCAGCTCTACACACACGCAGCTGTACGTGTGTGTGAATGACCCTAAGATGATGGAAGCATCGAGCCAGTGGTTGATTTGCAGAATGACTGTTGACCCTTCGCAGTAGCCATAAATTGAAAGATACCTGATCCGTATTTACTATCCTAGAGGCTACATGTCAAATTTGGTGACTCTAGCTCTGAAAAACCTAAGGGATTTGCTAAAAAAAACAGAATTTCGATATTGATTTTTATTGATTGCTTGGCAACGGGGCATATTACCGACTATCTCGAGCTTTTAAAGGTGCTGACATAGCGTGTAGGATATATTGGTCTTGTGCAGCCGTATGTAACAGGCAGAAGGAAGCAACCCGGAGAGTGTATATATATTCTTGGTCAGTAGCAATAGCCGAGTCGATCTGGCAATGTCTGTCTATACGTCCCTCCGCACGAGTTTCTTTCATATTATCGATAACTTGGCCCGCTACCAATCAATCGATAAAAACCGATAAACGAATGATCATCATTAAGAAGAAACTGCGGTGTATTTTCTAGTTGGGCACTTCCGATTAAATCACTTTTATTAGTTTTTTGGGGCTGTGTTGGTTATGTATTTTACAGGCAGCAGAATAAGATTTCTCTGAAATTTCCGAATATATCAGTCGAATACTGTCTTCTTGATTATTGGACAGGCGGAATGTTTTTGTGAAACTTAGATAACTCCACCACTATTCTACCAAGCTTTACAATTGTGGGTTTTCTTTGAGGACGATTGTGAATATTGGTGTTCAAAGTATATAAGGTTCAGCTAGACATAGGCTGAGCTTTTCTGAGTTGTCGTGTGTCTGACTCTCAAGCGGGAAATTGGCGGTTCAAGTGCCGCCAAATAGGTATTCAATTAACCCCTACAAGTAACTTGCGAAGCGTAGTGACCTAAAAGTCGGCTCGTCGATCGCGAAGTCCGTGGTTCAAACCCTGATTTTTGTCGGAAGATGTAATTTGGGTTAACGTTAAAGATACCCTTTCGAGTCCAGGAGCGTTTGCAAAAAGTGTACCCGTATTGCGAGGTCTTGCAAACTTTCAAAGCCAAGCGAAAACACAAATATTTTTCATTTTAATACAAATTAGAAAGTTTGTGTTTATTTGTTCTTAAAGACATTAAAGCAATAAGAATAAGAAAGTTTTCCAACATGAAAAAAAAAAACAGGAGACATCAATGGAAGCAATCTCGGACTTATGTTTATGTTTTATCTTCTTCGCCCACTACAATTCTTGAGCTACCAAAAAAAAAAAACAAATTTATTTATACTTTTCGAAAACTTTTTGAAGGTGGCACAAATCAGACAAACAATGAAATATTCATGGGACCCATACAACGCCGGGTAATATTCGCAGTAATTGCGCCTGTCACCAAACCAAAGCTGAGCTATGAAATGATTCGAGTTCACGAGAAAAAAGAAACGGATATCTTAACAGTAGTTCAAGCATAAGCATATGCTCATACACATATACACATACACGCGGACATATATACGTTTGTGTGAGTGACGAAATTTCATGCACACACACACACACGCAGGCTGCCACGCCAAACTTGAAGGCGAAGGAAAGAAAATAGAAGAATGTGAAAAAAATTGGATTTGCGCATTTTAAAATTCAACAGATCTTTGGGAAGCGAACACAATTTTTCTACCCTAAGAGTGCTACGCACACACACTTACGCAAGCGCACACAGACAAACACACACACATGTATATGTATAAACAAAACAGCGCGAACGCCAAGCGGCAAACTGCGGCAACAGCACAAAAACGAGCCAAACAAACCGACAACCAAAAGAGAACCGATAAAAAAAAAGAAATTAAATGCGGCGAATTCGTTGGCAGCATCAGCTGTCAGCAGCTGACGGCAAGCGGCAGTGCGTTGCCACATTGTGCACAATACCAATAACAATACGAAATATATGAAATTCAAATTTTATTGATAACTATAACAACTGGCATGCGCATTTATCATTGAACAATATTATGCTTTTGATGTAAGTGTTGCCACTGCAACTCGAATTGTTGCACTAATTAATGTCTGAACACGAGGTGGCAACTCGGTTTGGCTTGCACCATGCTTGTCTTTGACTCAATTGTCAGTCGCATTTTCACGACGTAGGAACAACGCATGAACTTCCCAAGCGCGTCGTGTGTGCGTCTGTTTTTTTTTTTTTTTTTTGTGACGCTTTGTTTTCAATTGTAAACACATTTTTTTTTTTGCCAATTTTTTTTAATGTGCGTTGTGTTTTGTTCTTACTTTTAGTTGTTGTGTAGCTCCTATCGAGTATTAGAGCATTCGGGTTTTTAAACAAATGCTTTGCCGCTGCTGCAAACGTCGCTGTCAATTGCCGTTGTTCCCTGTCGCCGCCGCTGACGCTGTTGCTTCCACTGGCAGCGGCTGTGCTGCTGCTGCTGCTGCTGCTGCTGCTGCTGGATACAGTGGTGTGTACTAATATCATTATTAAAAAAAAAACAAAAAGGAGCAGAAGCAAGCGTCGCATATGCAGACCGCAGACCGCAGACCAGCTCACATGTGAGCGTGCGGGTGTGTGTGTGTGTGTGTGCGTGCGTGTTGTGTCTGTGCGTTTGATTGTATTATTAGCCTGCATAGATACGTAGCTGCATGCTTGACAGTTATTCCAGGTAATGCACAGTTGCCAGGGACCGAAAGCTTGGCAAAGCTTCTAATGCAGCCTCCCACTTGTTTTGCCCCGGGCAACATAATGCATGTACAATATTGCAAAGCCGTGTCATATCCGGATCAAGGCCAAGAGGCACGCGAATAGGTTACACTCCAGCTGCATAACTTGATGCGCATCAAGATCGTGACATCATATCCTAACTGCGATATTCTTTTGTATTCTGCAAGTATCGATACACAGATTACAAGTTTAAGAACAATTTGCAATTATTACAAAACAAAAATAAGTGCAGCCAAATGAAATTTCATCATTTTGCAAAAAACTCCGCAAGCAACAAAATGGAAAATAGTTTCAATTTTAAATAACCTTAAAAATAAATGAGGACTTCAGTCGAAATCTCAAATGGTCCTCTAGAGCTGGCTTGAGGTCTTCTTATAATCGATCTTGGATTCAACATTGTTTTGGGAGCGTGGGAAATTAAGTAAAATCGACTGTAAATCACGCGACTGCAAACATCTGCTCACTGGTCACATCTTTCAAGTTGTCACTCGACCAGCAGATACCCTGTAATCAGCTGCCCATTTGTACATATTGTATGTTAGTAATTTCTGTGCGTGTAAAAAAAAACTGAGGGCTTGTATCCTTGTTAACATTTTTGGTGCAGTCGAAGAGTTATTTCGTCAAAAAAACATAACAATCAAATCTGTGCCAAATGTAGTGTCAACCTCTTCAGATCTTCAGAACTATGCTCAAAAAACCAGGGATGCAAATCGATATTTATCGATATTTGTGAAATGTTACATTTACATAATCTACATAAAATATAGTTATTCTGCATTTTCCAGTTCTTATCATCTTCAAGATATCAGATACAATCTTCAAAGTACTACATATCGATATTCATTGATATTGAGTTTTGAAGGAGTTATATCTAAATAAAAAAATCATACATAATAAGAAACTGTATGCCAAGAAAGTCAGGAGTCAAGCTCGTAAGATATACGGGAAATGTTCGAAAAATCGATTACTATTGATTTTTGGCAAATAAATAATTTAGAATGTTATTAATCCATATTTGTAGATTTTAAGGAAGGGTGGGAAAAGGGTGGATTGTTAACGTGAAATCTTTAAGCCCTGTCGTCTCTAAGATCTAAGTCTCCAAGCACATGGACATGGCTAGGACACGAGTCAGCTTGTCGTCCTTTTAGGGAGTTGAAATGTAATAACTATTAAATGAGTTTCCACTTAAGATATATTGTAAATTGAAAGCTTAATGCTAATTGATATATCGTAATCTAAATACTTGTCAGTTTTTGACAATACTCTATAAAGTTCTCTTCTATCTTTGACAACTTCGCTAAAGACCTAATATACTTATAACTTATTTGATTCTCAAAAGAAAAATCGTTTTTTTTTTGTATTATTCAAAGAGAATATTTATAATTCCGACTAGATCGGTAGGTAGGTAAATGCTAGAAGGTTCAAATGATTTGAGTGAGAAACAGTTTTTCTAAATGATAGAAAACATTTCATATATTATTTTAATAAATTTCATTTGCTTGTCTATTCCATCTAAAGATTTATTACTTTAAGTTAAATGGCCGATGCAGATGTTGCCGATAAGCTGGGCGGGCGAAGGGAAAAGAACACAGCGGTTCACATAGCCAAGGTCGAGGAACTGCGCTCCTGTGCGCCCTTCATCAAGAATGTGGTGAAAACCTATGGACGCCAGCTGGCCCAGGAGCAATATCGCAAGCTCAACATGCTCGTCGAGCTGCTGGAAAGCGAGTAAGTGCACATTTAAACATAATATTTATTAGATTTTGGGCCTTGCCCGTGGAACGTTTCGATATTAACTTTCCACTAAGTACACGCCCATGGAATATGGAAATCTACCCATCTTGATCTCCACATCTATTTGAAAATATGTTTATACCCATGTTAGTCTTGCGGTGAGAATCTTGAAGCTGAAAATTGAAATCTGATTTATAAAACCTTTGACCCGCCTTTGCCACCCAAGAACGTATCAAAGCCGATCGGATGGTAAGCAAAAAACATGCATACAAACGTTTTCCGCCAATTTACCACTGTTGTGGGTGGAATTTACCAAATCGCTGATCCGGACAAAACTTAAAACTTTGCCCAACAAATCTTTGAATTGCATTTTCCACCGGGGAAGCTTGAATTCTGTAAAACACATCTTAAATGATTTTTCATATAGAAATGAATTGGGAAATGAATTTAAGCGTGAAACGTCTTCCACCAAAACTTTGAACTCCATTGCCAGGAAGGAGAGATGGATTTTTCGCAAAGTGCGAAACATGCCTCAAATGAATTTGAACAAAGATCTTTGCAAATGCGTTTCAGGCCGATCGGACAAAACCTAAAAAGAAGAATAATGTTGACAAAATTTGATCTGGAGGCCAGAGGCCATGAGAAAAGAGCACAAAACCACGTACAAATCGGATGAGATTCGACCGAGTAATGGGGGTGGGAAATTTTGACCTATGTCTATATAGGATACTAGCGGGTAAATCCCAGATTTGAATTCTGAATGTTTTTCCCGATTTTGCCAGACATGAGGGTGAAATTTCACGACATCTTCATCACATAAGGTAACTACAGTGAAAATCTGTCAGACAGGACAAACAGTTTTATATATATATAGAGATAAGGATCAATAAACCAAAATGTGAGCAAGTGGAGTCTGTGTTTAGCTATATATGTATCAAGAGCTTGCTGGTTCTAACTTCAGCAGACTTTGCCTTGGGCTATGCGAGGCTTAAACTTGTTGTGAATTTTAGCGCATCGAACAGCAAAATATCTAAATGCGAGTAAAAACAAGCGCCACCTTATGTGAGCTGTACTTTGATCAAATATATTCATATAATTTAATGTTTCAATCCGTCTATGATTTTAGAATGCCCGCCGAGGATTTCTATCGTCGCTTTCCCGAGGAGAAGCTGAGCAAAATCGAGGGCGTTATCGATAAACTGAAGGCCAAATTTGGTGCCGTAAGTAAAAGTCAATATAAACTAAACAAAATGACTTTTTCAACTTAATAAACAATTGCACTTTCCATATTTGCAGCTCCTCAATCCCAGCGAGATAATTGTCATTGATGCCGCGGAACCAAGCGAGCTGCCAAGCACCTCAAAGGCAGCGCTCGAAGTTGTCCACAAATCGAATCCAAGCGCAGCGAAACCTGCTGCCAAAATTGTGACAGACTTAACCAAAACGAATGGCACATCGCCCTCGCCCAGGCCAGACGCTGTGCACAGACCAAGTCCAGCTGCAGCCGTCAAGAGCTCAACGGCGGACTTCGAGCGCAGATCGAATCCGCCCATGCCGAGCGCAACTCCGTTAAATGCCGAACTGAGTTCACCGCCCGCTGCCAGGGCGGGCTACGAGCGTAGAGCGCAGCCGGCCAGCCTGACCGTCGATCTAACCTCGCCCATTGGCAGCAGGCGGCAGGATTTCACCCGCAGAACCAACCAGCCAACTGTCACAACAACAGCAACAACAACAACACCGCCGCCCGCAGTTGTCCATGTGAGCAGTGCCCAGGCGAGGTCGCCTCTGATGGTTTTTGAGCGTCGCTCAAATCCGCCGGCACCGTCCGTCGAAGCGAACGCCGCCGCCGCCGCCAGCTCTGAGGAGGAACAAACCAAGCTCAAGTCGCTGGAGGAGGCGCGCAAAAAGCTGGCCGCGTTGCGCGGCAACAGCGAGACAATCGCCCCCCAGTTGGCCTCCAATTGTAACGATCCGCGCGGACGCAAGCCCGTCTATGTGAACAATCGCTTGGAGCAGCGTTCGCGGTCGTCGTCGTTGTCGCCGCCGCCGCCGCCGCCGCCGCGCACATTTCCGTCAGCCGGACGGAGTCAGACGCGCCCTCCCCCCCAAACGGTTAACATTCCACGTGCTGCTGCTGCTGCTGCACAGCACAACATTCCGATGCCGCTGCTCCGGACACGGGCGCCGCTCAATCTCAACACATCAGCCGCTGTTGCCGCCGCTGCAGCAGCTGCTGCTGCCGCCGCGGCCGCTGCAGCCGCTGCCAGTGCCGACTTTCAGTGCAGTCCCAATGAGCCGCTGATGCAGGCGCAGGATTTCAATGAAATGCGGCGCTACAATAATATGCCCGGTGGCACGGAGCTGCGCGATCCGCGCTGCAACAAGTGGGGCAACAACAACAATAATATTAATGTGCCATTGCTGGCAAACCCAACAGGATCTCAGCAGCCGGGCGGAGCACCAGCAGCAGCTGCTAATCATCAGTATCCGGGCGCAGTGCGTCGTCCGGCGCCCTACAAGGACGTGCCGTACGCTGGCTTCGAGGACGCGCCGCCTGGTCCCAACTGGCAGCCAGCCAACAATAACAACAACTATAGCTACAACAACAACAACTGGTCCAATAACAACCACAACAACAACAATGTTTACAACAAACCCAACGCCAGCTTTTGCTACCGCGGCGGCTACAATCGCGGCGGCATTGGCCACAATGGCAACCCGCGCTTTCCCCCTCCCTCGGCAACGGCTGTCCACGCCGAGCCGCGCACCTATCGCGAGCATCGTGAGGCCAAGGCCGCAGCCGCCAAGTTGCAGGCGGAGAAGCAACGTCAACTGGAGTCAGCCGAAAAGCAGCGTCAAATCGAACACGAGCCGCCGCCCGGGCCAAAGCAGACAACAGTCGATGGCGATCGCGTTCAGCTGGACACATCGTATCGCGATGTGGCTGGGACGACGACCAACAAGAAGCTCGACTTTAAAATACCCAAAAAGGTGCACGCGGACAAGTCGAGCGGCGTGACGAGAGGAGAGACAAGAGGGCAGAAGGCTGATAAGACAAATAGGTCGGATGAAGTGCAGGAGGAGGAGGAGGAGCAGGAGCAGGAGGAGGAGGAGGAGAACTGGAATGATATTGATATGGAGCAGGAGTCGGGCACGCCGAAAGGTATTAACGGGGAATCGAATAAGGCACAAAAGAAGGGAACGGATAGGTTAAATAAGGTTAATAAAGCGGATAAAGTGAACAAAAGGGATAAGTTGGATAAGTCTACGGATAAGACGTCGGATAAGGCGGATACATCGGATAAAGTGGCTAAGCCGGATAAACCGAATAAGTCAATTAAAGCTGACAAAGCAGATAAGACGGATAAAACAGATCAACTAATAGATAACACGGATAAAGCAGATAAGTCAAATAAAATGGATAAACCGGATAACGCAAGCAAAACGTATAAATTGGATAAGAAACACAAATCCGACAAGGAGCACGCAAAGCGCGACAAATCGAAGCACAGGGATAAGAAAGGTGAATCGGATAAGGATAAACGTGCGCCGAAAATGGATAAACCCAATGCGGATAAACCCAAAGACAAAGATGAAAAGGAGGCCAAGAAAACGGATAACACGGATAATGTAGAGAACGAGCCGCCATCGCCAATGGAGGAGACGTCCGAAAAGCGCGCAGAGGCGGAAGATCAGCCGGAAAGACGCAAATCCAAAGGCGGCAGCAAACTGCCGGAGCAGGAGCAGGAGGAGGATGGAGACGAGCAAGAGCAAGTGGATCCGGAGGCGGACAATGAGGACGCGATTGTCGATGTGGAGCAGCTGTCCGAAGAGGCAAACTCCGAGTCCAAAGAGGCGGACAAAAAAACTGAGACCGAACTCTTGCCCAAGGTGCCCAAGCTAAAGGTGGTGCTTGGTCCCAATGCGCACACCATCACAATAATACCGAGATACAATAACAACGACGACTCAAAGATTGAGTCGAAGACAGCGACGGCAGCGGAAACGGAAGCGGAAACGGAGACGGAGCCGGAACTAAAGCGGGTTATGAAACGTCGGAAATCGATGATGCCGCTGGCCAGCAAACCGCTGGTGGATAAATCGGAACTGTTTACCGGTAACAGTTTTGTATACGAGGACGTTGTGGAGCACCAGCGTCAGCAGCAGGAGCAGCAGCAGCAGACGGAGGAGGAGCCGGAGGAGGAGGAGCAGGAGGACAGCAATGCCAGCCGGCGCGCCAACCGGCATCTGGCGAATATGTTCGAGAAGACGAACGACAATTGCAGCATATCCACGCACAATATACTCGCCGGCAAGCGGCGCTCCTGCTTCAATAATCTGGCCATGAACGAGACACAGCTGAGTCGCAATGTCTTCGGCCTGGCGTCCGGCTCGAAGACCAAACCAAAAGCCAAGTCCAAAGAGCAGGCGCCGTCAACGGGAACGGCAACGGCAACGGGAACGGCAACGGCAACTAAGCGCAAACGGGGCAGGCCGCCGAAGGCTTTGACGGAGGAGCGGGAGCAGCAGGTGGAGGAGCCGGAGCAGCAGCAGGTGGAGGAGGAGGAGCCGGAGCTGCCGCCTGCCAAGCGCGTCTGTAACGAATTGGCGGCTTCGTTGCCACCGCCACGGCGCAAGCCCAAGCGCAGCGAGCTGGACAAGCTGAACGAGGACATTGCGCACATGTACTATGCGGACGATGTGATGCGCGCGACCGGACGTAGAGCCTGCACCGCACAGAAGCAGAACCAGAAACAGAAGCAGAAGCAGCTGCATGAGAGCAGCGGCGCCTCCAGCCTGAGCAGTCGCCGCAGCAGATCGAGCAGCGGCAGCTTTGCCAGCCACGCGGACATGGCGCCCTTTATACGCAATGTGGCGCGCCGTGGTCGACGCTTTATGGGCGCCAGCAGCGGCAGCTCGGGTCTGGATCGGGCCAGCTTCAAGGCCAAGCAGCTGGCGGCGGAATCGAGGCGCTGTCAGGTGCGTCTGCCGCGCTGTGCCCAGCTGGAGGAGCTGATCCGGGCGCAGTGCAAGCCAGCGCAGCGCAACAAGAAGAAGCGCAAGGCGTCCGTGTCCAGCCCCATTAAGAACATAAATCCCTCATGGCATGCCATGTCCACGGCGCTGACCAGCTGCGTCATATGTGCCAAACTGTTGCGCTTTCCCCTGCTGCACTATGTGCAGCAACACGAGGAGCATTTCGGCTCCCGGCTGCCGCCGGGCATCCTGCAGCAGCTGCGCAACAACCAGGAGAATCGGCCCGTTTACGGCCTGTCGCTGCCGAGCAACGCGCAGGGCGTCCGGTATGGCTACAAATGTCCGTTTTGCCGCAAACATTTGCAGATGACCAATACCGGCTGGGTGGAGCACTTTGCTCGGCACACGGGCGAACCGAATTTCCAGTGCTCTCGGTGCAAGGTGCCGCGGCATCGCCTCAACGAAATCGAACGCCATGTCGGAGGCTGCGGCGCCGGCGCCCGTGTCGTTGTCAATAACAATTACAGCTGCCGGCTGCCGGTCAGGATTCATGTGTGTCATCTGTGCGATTTTGTGCAGCTGAATCGTCAGAATCTGGAGCGGCACTGGAAGCATCAGCATGCCTTCACGGACGAACCGTTGGCTGGCCTCGGCCAGAAGCTAATCATCTATCATACGGCCGGGGTGCCAATTGTCAAGTCGCAGGCTTTGGCCAAGAATCTGTTGCGGCGACACAATTCGCTGGCCAATGATGCAATGGCCAAGTCGAAGGGCAGCAAAAAGAACAACAACAAGAAGAAACAGCAAAAGCCCAAGCAGCCGACCAAGGTGGAGCCAGAGCAGGAGTCGGAGCAGGAGTCGGAGCAGGAGGTGGAGCCGGAGCTCGAGGATGAAAACTCGTCGGCGTGCGTGGATGTGCTGACAATGCCGCCGCCCACGCTGCCGGAGGAGGATCAGCTGCTGGTGCTCAACGAGTGCAAGCTGGAGCAGGAGGAGGAACAGCGCCAGCGTGCAGAGGAGCAGCAGCAGCTGGTGGAGACGGAACAGCTGCATGGGGAGGACAATCTGTCCGGCATTGGCTCGGATAACTCCGACAACGAAAAGGAACTCGACGAGGGCATGAACACGCCCAAGCAGCGCGACGAATGGATCGATGTCGAGTGCAGCAGCGGCAGCGTCCGCCAAAAGTCAATCTTTCGCAATTTTCACAAATTCTGCAGCAAACTGGGCAACGGCAGCCCCGCCAGCAAATCGAGCACCAGGTCAACCAAATCCGCGGCGAGCAGCTGCTGTGACGGCGACGTCGCCGACTTGGATTCCGTGCAAACGTCCGCGCAGGCAACCACGCCTACGCCTACGCCCACGCTAATTACGGCCACACAGTTTAGCGTTGAGAATGTGGCGTATCGTTTGCGTGCAACGTCCGAGCAAGAACGGCCGCAACCCGCTTACTATTGCAAGCAGCCCGGCTGCAAGTTCTTGTTCTCCAACGAGCTGGAGGGCCTAGAGAATCATTTTGTTCACGAACATCCGCTGGTGCGCTGGACCGGACACTGCGCCACCTGTACGGAGCAACTGACGCATCCGGAGCCGGAGCTGGAGCTGGAGCAGCGGACGATCAGCGCGGAGCTGCAGCATCTGGTCAGCCGGCACATGACAGTTCCGGCTCCGGCTCCGGTACAATCGGAGCCCGTCGTCCTGCCCAAGCTGCGCGTGCGACGCTTTACCGGAGATCGTCTGGCTGCCGAGTTGGAACCGTTGCCAACCACCGCCCAGCTGGACCCCGAGATGGATCCGGAGCTAATGCAGTTTAATCAGGTCAACACAAATACGATGCTGCGCGAATTGCTGGTCGCTGAGCCGCGTCCGCCCAGCCAACCGCAAGTGGAGTCAACTGAGTTCCCAGCCGCGCCCAATCTAAAGCCTAAAGCTACGAGCGCTGCGATCGTCGTCAATCATGCGTCCGAGCTGGGCCTGGCCATCGATCAGGTGTACAGTCTGGCTGACGGTCTGCCGCCCCAGCTGGCCGGCGAAACCGTGACGCTGCCGTCTGCCGTAACCAATGGCCGATTCGTGCTCACCCAGAACGTGGCCCAGCACTCGGCCGCCGAGATTAACATCACCATCGAGCCACAGCCGGAGAGTGCCGCCAATCAGCGGACCACGCGTCTTGTCGCCGACCGATTCCGTTGCATGGCGCCCAATTGCAATTTCTGTGCGCACACGGTCCTCTGTATACGCGAGCACATGAAGTTCCATTGCTATAGCTTTGGCAGCAAGGATTATCTGCAGTGCGCCTATTGCCCGCACATTGGCAACGATGTGGATGACTTTGTCAATCATGGCGTCATCGAGCACGGACTCGCCTCGCGCTCTGAACTGCACGAAGCGAACGTTTCGCCCCCCACAGCACCCACGGCCCCAACGGCCACGTCGGTCAGTCAGCGTATTCGCGATCTGCTCAATCAGCGCAACGGCACTAGCTCCACGATAGCAACAACAGCCACTGTTTCGCTGGCATCCACATCTGTTGAGGCAGCTCCTTCGTCAACCTACTTCGGGGCACTGCGTGACACCAACACACCCATATCCAGTGTGTTGGAGGAGCTGCTCAAAAACACCGGCTATGATGGTAAGTAAAGACATTTCTTAGCTCAATTAGTTGAATTAGTGGAGCATTCGGATTGACTGGGAGCTCTAAGTGGGTAGTTCGATTCTAGGATTTTCCTTAACATTCAAAAGAATTGCTGAAATAGTGCGACAATTCGGTTTAATTGTGTGGAAGATCATGGAATATGGAAGATCAATTCGGCAATTTATTGCCGATAGAATAGAATATAGAATATATCAAGTATAGAATGTATCAAGTATCTTTCATTTTATAGCTATCTCCACCTCCCCGCTACCACCTCAAGGCTATAAATCAAGTTAATAATCCAACTTGTATAGCCCATCAATTAAAGCCACAATTTATATGCAATTGACTTTTTGAGAATACACAAATATTCTATGGCACAATAAGATGTATTGTCGAAAATTTCATTAAAATCGGTTAAGAAACACAAAAGTTATGTGCGCACGTGTTAGCAGCAGCTAGCGCAAATTCCAAGAATTTCTGTATACATGTACACGCACACACATCCTCACCAAAGTACATTGGAGTTGTTTTGGCATTAAAGTCTCCAAGGCAATCACCAAAAAAGATGGGTTTCGGATGGGTTTGGCTATCTTCCCCTGTCTTTTTTGGTTAGCAGAATATGTCAGTGCTTTAACAGATAAAAAGAGTTGTCGTAGCAACTCCACTGGAAGATTGAAAGAGGACTTTTTTTTTGGCACGGATTCCGACGCAAAGTTCGCCGCTCAAGCGATCGGGGGTTGTATATCATAAAAATGAATAAAGTTCATCTTTCTACTTGTTAAATAACTTAACAATTCGAATAATAAAGGTATATCTTCACGTGCTAGTCCAATTGCCAATCAAAGGAGGTAATTTCGACGGTGATTATTTTGTGAATATATGTTACATCAAGCATGATTATGAGATTAGTTAAAGAGATGAAATATCATCAAGAGTCTGCTGGACACTGGAATCTCAGCCCCAATCGACCGTACTCAAAAGCAGAAGTCCGGTATAGGGCAGATAAGAAATATAATAAGTGACCTTTCTTGTGTACGAATCATTTAACTCCCGACCTTGTTGACAACTGTCGTAAAATGAGAGTCGAATTTAAGTAATCATGATTTATGATCAAGAACTACGCGTAGAACATTGAATTTACTGTCGGAATAGTTGGCACACCCGCGTTGTAAGCTGTAGGAAAGCAAAAGGGTCATTCCCTGAAAATAGCTTATCTGTCGAATGTGGTTTCTGCTAACAGATCTCTGTTTTGTGGCTGAGTAGAGCTGTGGGGGATTCAAGGCATTGCGGAAGATTGGAGTGCGCAAATTCCTTAGGTTGTTTGATGGAATATCTTGGGAGAAAGATTAATTTGGCATAGGATTTCAGGTCAACCTAACTGCATTGCATGCCAAGTATTTAGTATTTAGGCAAATGTTCTCCTCCTTAGTCTACTGATAGGTCGGGCACCTTTGAGGTTGCTGGCGAGCCTATTCGCGTGTGTGGCTAGCCGGTTGTTGTATCCGGCGCAGTTGGTCCTAATTTGTTCTTCGACCCAGGGAATCTTCAGATCTCTATGGAGAACGCTGTTGCGCTCGTAGTATGGAGCTCCTACCATCCGGCGGAGAGTCTTGCTTTGAAGAGATTGAACTCTCTTTCGGTTAGAAGGAACAGCCAAGAGAGAGATCTGTAGGGCGTATCGCCAGATGGGTGCCACAGGGATAGTTTGCTGCGGGGGTTGAGGAGCCAATTAAGCTTGGTCAGTTTATTTCGACAGCGTTGCACAACTCCTCTAATGTGGCTCAAGTATTTTGTCTCGCTCTCTTGGGTTAGCGTTAGTCCGTTTAGCCTCAGCGCTGGCGGTACTCCTCTTCTAATTGTGAAGCACACAGTGCTGCTTTTGGCAGGGCTTAGTTTAAAATGTTATCCTATCTCAACTTGCATGGATTAAAAAAGGATGTCATTAACTTCATTCCCAACAACCTTTGTTTCCTTTGTATCCAAGCTGTGCAAGTCACGGAAAAGCGTTTATCTGTGCTATTACTCGAAGATAAAAAAGGTGGAAAACCTAAGCTGTATTTCGCCGAAGTCCATGGAAGATCTTTTTTGGGACAAGTCTAATCGAATCAAGTAGTTGAACCCATCAGCAATTACGTTTACTGGTTTTATCGATTAGCTTTTACTAATATACGCTTTTCATAATGTAATGGAATTGTTAGGGAATTATGATTGGGTTACGCGAAAAGGAATTTGATTTAAATGGGTTCCAATCTGGACCGCAAAACTAATCACAATTTCAAACCGATTCCAGATAACAAGCTATATGCTTGCCCCTTCAAGGCGTGTAGCGTGCCGCTGACGGAAGACGCCTTTGTCAATCATGTGCACTTTCACATGGCCAGCAGTCCGAATATTGGTGCCCTTACCTGCAAGTTCTGCCGACAAACCTTCGAGCGTCCGGCATCGTTGCGGTCGCATCTGCAGCAGATGCACGCACGGCACAAATACTTTTGCAGCATTTGCCTGGAAACGACGGCGAATCGAAGGCTAATGCATCAGCATCTGTCCAGCCAGCATGGCGAAGAATATCGTCTGGTCAATTGCCAGCAGCAGTTCATTGAGCTGCCCACACAGCCGGAGGAACAGCCGGAGAATAGCAGCGAGGTGGCAAAATGTTGGGTTTGCGCCGTCGAGCAGCCTTTCGGGAAAAAGCAAATGGAAGACTTTGTCAATAAGCTGCTGGACGAATGGCTGTATCGCCGCCAAGGCACCAAGACCATCTATCGACCCTCGGAGCTGAGTTTGCTGCCGCGCCAGCGCTCATTCGCCCAGATGCTAATGTGCGCCGAATGCCAGTTCCAGTCGCAGGAATACAAACATCTGCACAACCATCTGCAGCAGCACAGGGAGAAGGCGGTGCTCGTGGCTTACCATAATAAGCCGACGACCAAACAGCCGCCGGCATCCACATCATCCATCAACGAGGCAGCTACTAGCACGCCGGCGGAGTTGGCTAGCTCGGCACCCGCAGCCGCCAGTCAAGATGAAACGGGCAGCCATGTGCCACGCATACCCAAATGGAATTATGTGCCAAAGGCTGATCGGTTCGTTTGCTGCATTGCCAAATGTCGTGTCCATCTGGCCACGGAGTCGGCGTTGCGGCAACATTTCATGACGGAGCACAGCTATGGCCAGCTATACAAGTGCGTCCACTGCCAAGCTGAGGACAAGTTGTCCACCCTCGAGAAGCTGCTCGAGCATTATGCCTATCACAAGCGATTCATTTACCAGTGCGGTCTCTGCTCTGCGTTCCATCCCAAGCGGCTCTTCATCGAGCGACACATTCAGCGGCATATCGGGCAGAATGTCGACTTGATTATCCACAGGCGCAGCGACAACTCCCTCAACAGCGAGATCCGTTGGATTAAGTCATGTGAGTAGAAGAGTCGAGGACAGTATCTATGAGAACTTACCTTTAATCTACAAATGATCCATTGAATCATTCAAAAAAAAAGAAGGGGTTCAATTGATTAAGACGACGAGTTGAGTCAATTTAGCCTTGTCTCTTTTTATGACTGTATCGACCGCATCGAATTTGAGCTCAGATCGATAAGTATCGATTTTGAGCCGCATCGAACTTGAGCTCAGATCGATAAGTATCGATTTTGAGCCATAAATATATAAAAGACCATTGAACCTTTGAAAACGGATTAAAGTATTATTGATTAAGACGACGAGTTGAGTCAATTTAGCCTTGTCTGTTTGTCTGACTGTATCGACCGCATCCAACTTGAGCTCAGATCGATAAGTATCGATTTTGAGCCGCATCGAACTTGAGCTCAGATCGATAAGTAACGATTTTGAGCCAGAAACAGCTCTTTCTCTGCCCGTCTGAGAGTCCAGTGGAAGAAGCATCCGTATTTATTCCGATCGTCAACCAGCAATAAGGTCTCTCTGTTAAGAACTGTCGCCTATCGCTCCAAGGGATGGCCAAGCGGCTGGAAGTTCATCTCAACAAGTTCATGGCGCCGGAATCCCTTCTCCGAATCCCTCATCTGCGGTGATTAGAACTTGGGTTCAACAATAACTAGCTGCAAGCTCCTATTCCGAAGACATTTCAAGCTTGCTAGCCCAACAGACTTGGGCGACTCGCTCCATATGCACACACATATGTCCAGCATTAGCCCGAGGCATCACTAGACTCGACTCTCTAGAGGCTCTCATGCCTCTGGATCTTTTTTCTCCTAAATCGAATTCGTTTTAGATATCGTTTCCTTGGAACGTTTTTCCTTCTGGCTAATAGACATCATCCGTCGTCGGCTTCCTTTGTATGTTTTTAAGGGGTCTGGGAAGAAACGGAAGAAGCATCAATTAATTATGATCTCTATTTAGAATATTTCACATTTGACCCCCTCCTCCACGACATTTATTTCTGGCATTGAATTGAACTCATTTGAATTTTTTCAGCCCTGGTCTTACGCACCAACCCTGAAGATTGGCTATGCAATCTGTGCACCGTGGTGGTGTCCAGCCAGGGCCAGATATTGGCTCACATGGCACAGGTGCACGGACGCAAACATCAGTTCAGCTGTGCGTTTTGTAGTGTGTGCGATAAGGATGTGACGGCAATGATCCAGCATATGCGACGCGAACATCCCGAGCAGCGGGTGCAGCCCATTAAGAACTATCAGCGGTGCAAGGTGAAGAACTGGCATACATTGGGCTTCCATTGCAATTCGTGCGACGGGGCGGCCAACAGTTACCAGCGTATGCGTAAGCACTGCGAGACACGGCATAAGATTGGATTTCAATATAAATGTGCCCACTGCCCGCAGGGGCATGCCTTGGAGCGCGTCATCATTACCCATATGCAGGAGAATCATTTGGGCAAAAAGGGACTTGTCCACCAGCAGTTCGAGCGGGTGGCCAACGAGATGCCCGATAACGATTATTGGGCTATGGCCCATGCCTTCGATACATCGATGAACACGATGCCCATCGCCAACAATGCCGGCAGCAGACGCAGCAGCAGCAATAACAACAACAACAATGACAACAGTAATAACAACAAAACCTGCACCGTCACGAGCAACAGCAGCAGCTTCGCCAATGAGCCCACTATTATCGATGAGATCGAATTATTTTCGTCGGATGAAGAGACTTATGAACAGGTAAGTTGCATTTTTAATCGCTATGCGCCATTTAACTCAAGTGCGTGTTATAGTCGTGAGTCTTGGTCAGGCCAACTATCATATGCGTTGCTTATTCCGCACTATTTATCGATCGTTGTTCGTGTTGTGCGTGTCATAGTCGTGAGCCTTGGTCAGGCCAACTATCATATCCATTGCTTACTCCGCACTATTTATCGATAGCTATCGTACTTATGAGCCATGGTATCGAAATCGATGCTTGCGTACATTTACTTATTGATTTTGCATATGTGTGTGTGCATGTTGTTTTTCAACATCAAACAAACGGTCAGAATGACCCAGCCGTGGCTTATCGGCTAGCATTGTATTAATTATATTTTCAAATGCCTAAAAAGGACAGAAAAGACTTTCGGTGAGCTAAGCTGCATAGTTTTTGTTCTTAATTTAATACCAGATTTTCTTACTCCGAATATATGTTTACATCCTGCATCAATTGGAAATGTATCAAAAGAATATGAAAGAGCTTATTTTCTCGATTAGCCGCAACAGCTGAGCGAATTAAGTAATTTCCGTATCTGGGCAACTAGAAGTTTCTCAAGGCGTTCAAATTTGTGCGTATATCGATAGATTGCCTATCGATAAATTGCAACGGTGCCTTTGAGAAACCACAACTAGGATAAGCAAACCCAGCTTAGTTTATTCAAAATAGATTGCTTTTTGTTTATGATTATCGACAAAGCGATTAATCGATTGTTATCGTTTGCTTGCAGAGAACATACGAATTCACCTGTTCCCACTGCAACGAGACGAGCAGCGATGTTTTCGAGCTGCGCACCCAGCATTGGGCGGAGAAGCATGCGGAGCATCCATTTTATTTTAGCGTACAGCCGCAACTGCGCTGTCCGGAATGCCGGAATTTTGTGGGCAATGCAAAGTCCCTGCTGGAGAATCATCTGCCCAATGTGCATTCCATACGCAATCTTGTGGCCTGCGATGTGAACAAACCGAACGAGTGCGCCTTCTGCCATCATCGTTACCAGGGCTGGTTGGGTCTGGCCCAGCATATGGTGACCGAGGCGCATTTGTCCAACGATCTGAAATCGCTCAAGGATCGGGAGCTGAACGAACTGCTTAAGCTGGGCGCCGTCAGCCAGCGGGAGTCGCGGGAATCGCCCGGCGAATATCCCAACGAGTATTATCAGTGCAACATGTGCCGCGTGATAATGCCCACAAATGTGGCAATGGCGCAGCATGGACGTGTGGAGCACAGCGGATCGCCGGAACGCTTCTGTTTCCGTCAGGTCAAGGATCTGCTCATCTTTCACTGCTCCTTCTGTATGTTCGCCTCGACCACGGAAATGGAAACGCTGCGTCATATGCTCGATCATTATAAGAAATTCCGGCACTGCCATTTCTGTCAGACCATTCAAAATGATGGCTTCGAGGAGTATATACAGCATTGTTATACATTCCATCGGGATGCCGTGCATCGCTTTCAGGAGGTCCATCCGTATACGGATCTGAAAAAGTTCCTCATGCAGGTGCTCTACCAATTCCAGAACGGTCTCATCATTAGCAAGAGCAGCCTGCGCCGCACACGCTTCAGGGACGAGCGCACCATGCTCAAATTGTACACGGAACTGATGCGCAAAGCCCAACAGCCGCCGATACCACGTCTGCTGATCAGCCAGCTGCTCAATCGCAATGTCACGGCCACTGCCACATCCACATCCACATCCAACGGCCGGCAGGAGCAGCAGCCCGGGGAGGCGTCTGCAAAGTTAATCAAGCGACGCAAAACCCTCAATCCCGATGATCTGAATGCGCGCCTAAATGCCACGCCCAGCGTGCCACAGCAGCAGCAGCAGCAGCAGTCGCAGTCGCAGCATAATAGCCGCACCTCTGTCATCAATTGGCACACATCCTTCACGGGCGGCAATCAACTAGCTGTCGCTGCTGCTTCTGCTTCTGCTGCTGCCACGCCCACATCCACTGCCACGGCAGCGAGCAGATCGACTCCTCCTCCGCAGCCGATGCCCGCCCTCGAGCGCATCCTAAAGCGTCGCAGCACCTTTGTGGACATCGGGCAGCTGGCAACGACGCCTGGCCTGAAACGCGGCTGCCCGCCAGATCGTGATGCCTAAACGGACGGACTCCGGCTCCGTTTCAATTGTATATCCCCACCCCGCCTAGCAATACGTAAAGACGTTCTAAGGACTGCCAACAGTATTTTGGCCAATTGTAAAACTGACATGATAATAATGTTACCTAGACTTAAGGAATATGTATTGATAATAAATATTCGATTCCAATGGCAAAGACTGTGCCGTCAGAGTGCAGACAAACAGTCCACATTATGAACAAGAAACTGACTCTTTTTTATGGCTATATACCCTGTAAATAACAAAAATGTAACGGGGTATAATAAACTTGTACTTTTAGGGGTAGAGAGAGAGATAGATAGGAAAATATATAGATAAATAGATATGTATATAGATAAACTTTCCGTTTGCAGACATGTTAGCTGAGCGTGTCCCTGTCCTGTGCGTCAATCATCAATCGTTCAGTCAATCAATCACATAAAAAAAAAACTATCTTTAGTGGCGCTTTCAGCGTGTATTCTGCTTTAAGGCATGGCAGCGCGTATGCTTGCCCTATGCATCAATCATCAATCAATTAAAGAGCAGCATGCTTACTAGCATTATGGTACAACAGCTGAAAGATAAGCATGCCCCTAGCCTCTGCGTCAATCATCAATCAGTTGGTCAATCAATCAAACGAAGTGCAGCTCCTAATATCTCCGATAACTCTCTAAGCGCGCAATCAGCATGCAGATATTATATTAGCTGAAAGCTGGGCGCGTTCCTGGCCTGTGCGTTAATCATCAATCGGTCAGTCAATCAATCACACAATTAAAATAAGAACCAACTAACTATATTCTTAACTCTTTCAGCGTATGTCTTGTATCCAGGCTTGCCAGGCGTGCATCAATCAGTTGGTCAATCAATCAAACGGAAAGAATCTAAAGAAGCACTTTCAGCTTGCATTCTGCTGGCTGGCATTATGGTACAACAGCTGAAAGCTGGGCGTGTGCCCAGTCAATCAATCGGTCAATCAATCAATCACACGATATAAAAAGGAACAGAACGTAAATATAATTGTTTTAGCGTGTATTCTGTTTGCAGGCATTGTGGTACAACAACTGAAAGGTGGGCGTGTCCTTGCCCTGTTGGCGCTCAACATTGGCGCAGCGCAGCTGATTGAAGAACTCGCAGGGCGTGGCATAGGTGATCAGCTGGTCGTTGCGACTGACGCAAACGGGACGATAGTAGCGCGGACAGCTAAACTCGCAGCTGTTTTCGTCCAGGCCGATGGCATCGATGTTGTTGCCAAGGGATTGTGCCGGCGCCTCCTGCTCCTCCGCCTCCTCCTCATCATCATCCTCCTCGTCGTCATCCTTCCCATCATCTAGATCCAAGTACTGTGCATCTTCCTCCTCCTCCTCCGCCTGCCCGCTGTTGGCCTGCAAATATATATCCTCGCTGCCCGCTGTGGCATAGTCGTCCAGTTCCGCCGTGGATAGCTGCTCGGCAGCTACTGCTGTGCTGGCCAGCAGGGTCATCAATAGCCAGGCTGCCATTGAATGCATCTTGGACGCCGCCTTAATTCAATTTTTGAACTGTGCTCCCAACCGGCGACGCGTTCGCATTTTATAGTCCGCCGTTTCCAGCCAACAGTTGTGCAAATAAAAAAAGCCAAAAAACAAAAAATACGTTGAACCACATGTGAAACAATTCTTAAAGCTATTTTTTTGTTGTGGCCTTAGATAAATATTCAAATGTGAATCAAGGGCAGCTTTGGCTTTGACTGATAGCTGCTCGAATAAACGCGTATTCCGCCGGCCAATTGTCAGGAAATGTGCCGCAGCGAAGTATTCGTGAGTTGAGCCAAGCCAAGCAGAGAAATCGGCCGGATCTGGGAAATACATATATCCAATAAGTACCAAGACGAGGAATCCATCTATAGTGTGAAACGGGCAGAAGAAAGCATTTTTCTAGTTTTACAGGGTATAAATTGTCGATCAGGTCGACGAGCTGTGTCGAGCTCGTGCTGTGCTAATTGCTTGAAATATGAAATCGAAATGCCTCGAAATGCCAGTTAACTCCTTTCATGTTCACAAAATCGATAAATATCGATCTAGAAACATGACTGACTACAATATAATCTATAATATACAATTTAAGAATATTAAACTTTTTCGAATAACAGAAATGAAAATAAGTTCTAAGTAAATTCCAACAATAACGATCAGACGATTCTAATCTTTGGTATATTCCTGATTTCAGGGCAGCTATAAATTGCGATCGATCATTTTATCAGCGATCGTAAAAACCTGTTGCTAACTTAAACAATTTAAACACAGTTCAATGTGCGTAAACGCATTTAATTCATGATAACAATTAATAAATGTGTAAATATTTGTGCATAGTTTGCCTTAAAATTAGGCTTTGCCTTTGAAACACACATCAAAATATGTTTCGAATTGCACTTCAATATGGTTAACAAACAGATTATTGCATATGTGTGTGTATATATATAGTATATAGTATATATAAAACTGATCCTGTTCCGAATTCCGTTTCAATTTTTACAATTTGGCATTTAAAGTGATCTAATTTACATAGTTTTACGTTAAGGCACATTTTGTTTCATTTTCACTTGTTTCTAACCACAAATTGTACAGTTACAACTTAGGTACAGCTACGCAAGTGTTCCATTTTCACTTGTTTCAATATAAGAACACTTTCTGAAATTTACCTTTAAACATTATTTGGCATTTATATTCAATAATTTTCACTGGTTTTTTTTTTAAAAAACTTAAATGAAAACTGGAAGACAATTATGTTTCACTTTCATGTTCATTTTCTATGAGAAAAGCTATAAATGGAATTTTTGGCGTTTCATATTCACTTGTTTCTATAAATACATGAAACCAAGTTTTGGAATGGAATGGAATGTAAATTTTGGCACAGCGCATTTCATAACATATTTTGGTAACATGAATTCGGTATTCGGAACAGGCTAATTGATAAGATATTGATAACAGGGTTTCGATAGTGCGTGGAACATGTGAGACAAGGCCGATAAGTGGAAGAAGAATTTTAGCTGATTGCTGCTCCAATCTACTCCAATCAAATCCAGTCCATGTAGCCCTGCTCGAAGGCGTGACGCAACACCTCGAATATCTGTCGATTGGCCGCGTCGCCGGCAATGTCCATGGATAGCCTGTAGAACTCGGCGCCGTGCATTTGCGTCTCGAACAGCTTGGAGAGCCGATCACAGTCGGCTTTGCTGCCCAGCAGCCAGGGCATGAAGTGCATGCAGATCATGACGCCGTAGAAGGCATAGCGCTTGAAGTGCGCCTCGAAGCGCTCAAAGCTGGAGAGGATTCAACATGTTTTAGGCTGCAATGCAGGCATACAAAAAGGCACATCTCACGCACCTGTAATCGCTGAGCAGCTGATTGATTTTCTCCTCGGGCAGCGTATCGTGATTGCGCTGCAGCACCAGCTCCAGCGTATCGTGCATATGCTGATGATATAGACGCAGCAGCCGGGCAAAGATCGCGGCACGATCCGCGGCCGGCGTGTTCATGTACAGAAAGAAGCTGAGATCGATGGCGACGGTGCTGTAGCGCATCTCCTGGAAATCAATCATCCGGATATCGTCGACGCTGCCCTCGTCATTTTCATGGAACAGCACATTGTTGCGATTGAAATCGCCGTGCAGAAACGTGCTGAAATGCGATTCCGGCTGCGTCTCATCCAAGGCGTGGCTTCGTATATGCTCCAGCAGCTCAACCGGCTGCTCGAAGTACTTGTCCCGCAGTCGCTGCAGCGCCTCCGCGAAGCGCGTCTCCTGCGGCTGCAGCAGCAGCTGATCGCGGCAGCGATCGTAGAACGCATAGAAGCGATCGAAGGCCACGCGATAGAGCACCGCATAGAGATTGGGTGAATTCGCCTCAAAGACGAACGGCAACGTGATGAGCTCGCCGCGCAGCCGCTCGTGCAGATGGGGCTCCAGTATGCGCAGGGCATAGCCCAGCGCATGATACGGACCCAGTATGCGGCACATGGCCGCCAGCTGATCCGAGCGCAGCGTCAGCCGCGGCCCCAGCTCATAGCCCGACGGCTTCAAATGCTGCAGCGCCAGCACCGACTCCTTGGCCGTGCCCAAACCTATTGGATACAGAGTTACACAATCGTGAGGCAAGTAACAGTAGCGCGGCGCTCACCCTCGATCACACCAAACTTGGCGCAATAGACGCGCGGCACCAGCTGCTCGACCAGATCCGTGTTCAGTTTGCTGCTGCGCAGCAGATTCTCATAGGCGGGCAGCAGCTCCGCATAGACAAAGACCTCGTTGGCGAACTGCGTGTACGACTTGCTCGAGTCACGGAACTCGGGGCTGCCCTTCATGAACTTGACCAGCACCAGCTCCTGGCGGGCGCTGAAACAAAATTTTGACAACTGTCAGTTTTTTTCTGGCATTAAACTGGGCCACACTCACTTTCCGGCGATTTTCATGTCCAGCTGGACTGTGTAGAGCGCCGACATGAAGCCGTCCAGGCCATTGGAGCACTCGATGCTGTGCGAGTCGAGGACCGCATCTTTGCCAAAATACTTATAGATATCGTACACCAGATATCTTTCCATATAGTCCAATTGCTGTTGTTGCGTCGACATTTTGATCTTCAGCTGCTTCACCTGCTTCACCTGCTTTGCTTGCACTGCGCCGTTTGACTTTCGCTTAATCGGCTTTTTATAGCGGCCTTTAATTATCTCAAGTACACGTATGTACGGTATTTCGTATCTGGATTTAGCTGCGATCGCGAATCGACGAATTCGTTTTTTTTTCTTTTCTCTCTTTTGTTTGTTTCAAACTGAAACTCGTTTTGCAGCATTGCATCTGGTTATCGTTATCGATAGCCCTGAGCCCTGTCCCGCGCAACGGTTTTCATTTGGGCGCCAATTCAAATGCGAGATATTCATCTGCATTTTATTTGAATTCGTAGATGTTAATAAGTTCAATTTTTAATAGGTGTTGTTTAAGTTTCTTGGTCGATGGATATGCAGTGAGTAAAAAACCATCCTTAAAAAATTACCTACCTTAAAACAAAAATTATCCACCTTCATAATTTCTTAAGAAAGACTAACGGAAATTTTCTTGTTATTGTTGTTTTTTTTTTAAATTTATAAGTTGAGTGTTCTTCCTCCCGCTAGAAAGAAAATTCATTCTATAAATTAATATATCTACATTTTTTTAATGCACTTGCTTGATTTTTATTTCTAATTTTATTAAAGTAAAAAAAAACACACCATATAATTACATTAAAATATCTTGTTAAACATTTTACATATTTAAACAAACTTATTTAATATTCCTGTCATATTTTTAGAAATTTTTAACAAATTAATTTTGCATTTAACGTTGCATGATGTTATTGTCATGCATGCTCGGCACTGTGTATCGATATGTTTGCGATTAATCGATAGCATACGCTGGAGTCCTGGCAGCGCAGTTATTGGCGATTGCCAGCCCTGCTCTTGTGGAGTTATAAAAATAAAACAAAAACTGTTCAAAAAACGAAAAGTCTTAAGCATACTAGTGGAAAATTGTGCGTTAGCATATGCACATATACCTACATATGTATGTCGTATACATGAGTGCAAGCAGTAATTCAGCATAGCGTGAGTGTTGGTGCGTCGGGCGTGTTTTGTGGCCGCAGTGTTGTCAGCTTCTGATTACAAGAAAAGATGGAAAAATGAAATAAAAGTGGCAAAAAAAAGCGTCAATTTTGAGCCATGTTTTTTTTAGCCGCAAAGCAAATACAATTTAGTGGACATCTGTGCAGCGTTCAGTTGACAACACTGGTGCATTGCCCGGTTGCCAACCAAAGCCAAATAATAAAATCAAAACAAGTATACTAGCAAGTAATGAGCAGCGTGTGTGTGTCTAGTGTTAGTGTTGGTATGTGTGTGTGTGTGTCAACGCTACGAAAGGAGCTACAAAGCGAGTGAGCAAATAAACGTGCTGGAAAAACATAAATGCAAGGCAACGCTGCTCAACACTGTCGCTATCGCTGCTGCTGCTGCATTTAACAGCACTGTTCCCACACTGTACATATAGTATTTTTTTGTATTTTCCATGCCGCTGGTATTTTTGTATTTTCCATTTCTCTTCATTTTCGTTTTGCTCTTTGGTACGTACAGACGTGTGAGCGCGCGTTTTTTTGTCGCCATCGTCGTCTGTTGTCGTCATTTCGTCGTTTCGTGTGTGGCAACAAAAAATATTTCAGGCTATATAAATCAATTAAGCCAACCAACAACAAGTCAAAGCATATGTGAAAACGCATTTAGTTAACATTAGCTCATTTTTTTTTTGTCGCTTTTCTTGCGCATGTTTCGAGCGCTGCAGCAGTGGCAGCAGCAGTAAAAAAGGTTGGTGAAAAAAAGCCGTCGTCGTCGTCGTCGGCCTGTTCTCGTTATCGGCTGTCGTCGTCGCGCCGTTCCACCGTTATACGAACTGTGTATGTGTGTGTGTGTGTGTGTGCATTTATTTTTTGTTATTGTGCTGCGTCTTTTTTTTTTATTTTTAATAAATATACACATCTATGTATATTTTTTAAAAGCAAACAAGCATAAAAGTGCATTGAGATCAAAGAAGAAGAAAAAGTTGCAGCGCTAGTTATCGAAAATTAATCGTCGCCTCGCGTTGCGTTGCCTGTTTTTTTTTTTGTGCTCTTTTTAGTGAGCATTTTTTTTGTACTCCGCCTCCGCTGTTGCGACGCGCTCTTTTGTTAGCCGCAGCGTCGTCACCGTCGCATTTCGCTGCCTGTGTATGCGTGCGACAGCGCTTTTTTCATGTTGTTTTTTTTTTTAGTGTGCTAAAAGTTATTGTTGAATATGTTTTAATATCTCTTTCTCTCTCTCTCTCTCTTTCTCTGCCGCTCTATATGTGTCCATATACATATGTATGTTATTTATGAAACGTTTCCAGCAGCAAGAAACAACAACAAACGTAACAAACAAAAAAAAAAAGCAAAATTGTTTGTCAGCTAGTGTGTACATACATACGTATGTATATGTGTGCATATGTGTCCGTGTGTCTGTGTGTAAGCAGCAGCAGCAGAAGCAGCGTCGCCGTCGTCTTTAGCTTCAAGTGAAACATGTTTTTTTGTATGGCGCTGCCCACGGCGACAACCACAACAACAAAATTGACAACAATTTATAACAAAAACAACGACTACAACAACAACAAACAGTAACAGTCAACATGTAAGTGCAGCCTTTTATTTATGTATGTATGTATTGATATGCACATATGCATGTGCACACGCTTGCCTGCGTGTGCGTGTGTCTGTGTGTCTGTGCTGTGAGTCGCTGTCTCGGCCCAGCTAGTCAACAGCATCAAATTTGTTTGGTTATGTTGAACGCGTTGCCGCTGCTGGCGTCAACGTCGCTGCCGGCGTTGCCACCGTGTTACATTTTGCGCGCAGACGGTGGCAGCGCCACCGCCGCCGCAAACATATTGGATTTGCCGGCATTTTCTGCTTGTGCACTTCTGTTTCTGATTGGGAAGGCATGTGGTTTTGCGGTCCGCAAATATGTATGAGTGTGTGTGTGTGTGTGTGTGTTGTGCACGCCAGGTAGCAACATTCAGCCGCATATACATGTGCTCAAATGCTGGCAAAAGGCAAACAAGAATTTTAAAAAGCCATTGACGCCGCCGCAGCAGCAGCGCTGCGGACAGCGACGTTTGACAGCATACACAGACACAGACAGACCATACACTTACATATACATATTTAGGTATATGTAGACGGTCCGTGTACAGCTACAGCCGCAGCGCTCTCACGCTGCTTTTTCCGCTAGCCGCTGCCGACGTCGACGCTTTGTCTGCACAGAAGCGCAAATAGCAGCGACGCGGGCAGCGCTGCTCTTGTTTGTTTAATTTTGATAAAAATGCGTTTAATAAAATTACAACCAAAATTCTTGAATTTATAAATGCAATATGTTTGCCACGCGCGCTCTCTCAAACTTCACTAGACTCTCTCTCGCGCTCTCTCAATCTTTCTCCCTTTGTCTTGGTGCATTTTAATTACAATTTGTTGTTTAGCCAAATTCACCAACAAATCGCACGCTGTTTTCAGCCATTGAGGGCGAGAGAGTGTTAACACGCGCTCTCTCTTTCGCTCTCTCGCACTGCTGCTGCCCGTTTGAACAGAAAACTTCAACAACGTTGCCGGCAGGCAGCACCCAGCAACAACAACAACAACAACAACAACAATTAGAAACGCTCTCTCCCTTCTGCTGCCGTCCTGTCGTGCGAGTGCGAAGGCGAAGGCCCATCAACAGCTGGAGAGAGGCGCGGGCAGAGGGCGCCAGCAGCAGCTGTTTTGGCAATTGGCAACATTGAACGGTACACGACGATTCCGTTAATCCACTCGTTCCCTTCCATTTCATTTCATTCGATTCCATTTCGTTTCGTTCCTTTCCGTTTGGGTCATTTGCTTTTGCCCTTTCGCTAAAACAATTGCACTTTATTTGCCCTTGTATCTTGTTTATTTTTGCCTCGCCTTGTTGTTCTTTCTTCTCGTCTGCTTCTGGCCATTTTTCGTAAGAAACGCTCACGCATTTGCGCAAAATATGCAAACGATACTTATTTTTTTTTTTTCACATAAACATAGACAAAAACGCAAAACGCAAATGCAAAACAATCGCGCATGTGGCGTCAGGTGCATCAGCGCCGCATTTCCTATGAACTTCACATTCAAAACAAACACACTGAGATCTTTTTTCACTTAATCGTTTTGCTAAAATAGGCATGCAAAAGAGTAGACGACTGTTTAGATACCCTTTAATAGGGTTTTAGTGGTTTATTTGAAGAAGGCTGCCCATAGATAGGCTCGTTTCCATTTGATTTTCGTGAATTGGCGCGGAACGCGTGAAAATATCAAAAATCACAAATAATCTTAAAAGGCTTAGGACACCCTGTAACCGATTCTAGCTGTGAGTTCTTCTCAGTTCGATGAGAGCAAAGATTAACGAGGAGACCTTCTTTTAAGTGGTTCCATGCACACATTCTGTTCCATTCGATATTCGTGAATTGGCTCGAAACGCGTGAAAACATCAGAACTGAAAAATAATCTTCATATGCTTACGATATCCAGAACCTACCCTACGCACCAACTTTTCCAACTCTAGCTCCGGCAGTTTCTCATGCACTTTTCAAAGATAAGAAAAGCTTTGTGAGCACGTAAAAGCTTAAATTAGTTTTGAAAGCTCGTGGAATCAAGAAAACTAATAATGCTAAAATGGGCATTTAGATATTGATATTTGCAATGAAAGCTGAAAGCTTTTGGGAGCTGCGAAGCAGGTCAAGCTGAAAAGCTCATGGAATGTGGGAATACAAAACGCAGCTTTTATGCTTAAGCTTAAAGCTCGTATAGAAGAGGAAGTTTTTGTAAGCAACTGAAGGCTTGATTTGAAAAATATAAATATACTTTGTCTGATCTAACAAACTTGAAAGCACACAAAGGGATAAAGCTGCAAGCTTTTGGACGATGCAAAAGAGCTTAAGCTGAAAGCTCACGGAAGAGGAAGCTGAAGGCTTCATTTGAGAGCTCATATGAATATGCATCTCCTCATCTAACTTGAAAGCACACAAAAGCATTAAGCTCAAAGCTTTTGGAAGATGCGAAAGAGCTTAAGCTGAAAGCTCACGGAAGCGAAAGCAGCTGAAGGCTACATTTGAAAGCTCACGATTGTTGATCCTCTGACAAAGCAAAAAGTTTTTTTTATTTTATGCACAAAAATTCGCTTGAAAAGCTCTTAAAGAAAATATAAAAAAAAAAGCAGAAAGAAAAGTAATTGAAGGCAAGTGCAACAAACGAAATGGGAGTTATCGCCCGATCGATCAGATATATGTATATCGCTCGAAATGTGCGCTATATATACGATTGTAGAAGAGCCTAAAGATTTCGCTGCTGCTGCTGCTGCTGCCGCTGGCGTCGTCGGCGCCGACGCAGGCTGCTGCGATGCCTGCCGCTCTCGGAGGTGTGTGCCGCCTTCTGTTTGGCCTCGACGGCCGCACAGGCGGCCTGATAGGCGGCCATTTTCACCTGTTCGTACTCATCGCGGGCGCACGCGATTTCCTTCTGAATGCGCTCGCTGCGCTCCTTTGCGGCGATCAGCATCTGCCGCTTCTCATTGTAATCGTTCTGGGCCAGCTCATTTAGGGCGTCCACGTCCCCGACGCTGCCGCCGATCAGCTGTACGATTTCCGTGAGCCGAGCGAAATGCGCCTCCGCCGATTTGGCGGCGCATTCGGCCCGCTGCGTGTTCGCTTCGCTGTTCTGCAGCGAGGCGCTCAGCTTGGAGAGCAGCTCCTCGGCGGCGCGCAGTTCGCGCTGGATTTTGTCGAGGAGCGCCCGTTTGCCCTCGAGCACCGCCTGGACGGCGCGCGACGCCTGGACGGCCTTCTCGGCCAGCTGGATGCGCACCTCCTTGGCGGCGCACTCGGCGGCATTCGATTGGGCGTCGTTCGCGGCGGTTGCCACTTGGGCGGCCTTTGCCGCAATGCTCGCCGCCATTTGGGGGCAGTTCTTGCCCGATATTTGTTGTGACATCGATGCGCATGTTGCTGTTGCTATTGTTGCTGTTGTTGTTGACGTCCCGTCGCCGTCCTCCTCGCGTGCCAGGCCCGCCATCACGTTCTCGCTCTGCAGCTGTTCCGGATCGAAGTCGTCGTCCGCGCGGCAGAGCGAAACGAACAGCAGCAGAGAAAAGCATTTCCATTTCATTCTGACAGCACTTTTCGATAACAGTGTTGGTTAATGTCACACTGTCGGCTGTCAAATTTAACAACTCGTATGCTGTTCACCCTTTATGATAGGGGAAAAAAAAAACAAAAAAAAAACTTGAAGCTAAATTTTAAGAAAAAGTTTTTTTTAAGTGGCGACACTCTCCTTCTCCTATTTGCTGGGCTTAAAGATAATCTTCATTAATGTGCATATACTCAATGGAATTTCAAAATGTGAAATGTTATTAATCTGCGTGTTGTATAAGGCAACCTATACATATGTTAAATTCTAGAGCACTACCTTTTAAAATCTTTGAAATATGCTCGGTAAAGCTCTGGCGAAAATTCAATAGTTATCGATTTTGAATAGAGCGATCAATGTTATCGATAATGCTGCTTCAACTTGAACTTGTTTTGAATCAGCCGGACGAACAGAGAGAGGGAGACGAAAGGAGACTGCTTTTGGACTGATCAGGATTACATTTGCCCTAACTTGTGGCTCACTTTTGTTAAAAGACGTTTTTGCTCAAATATCCTTAACTAAGCCTCAGCTCTCAAGAAAATCGACAAAAAAAAGCCAGTGTTAAAAGTGTTAGTGCTGTAAAGCGCAATAAAAATGAACGGTATATGACGTCTTTAAAGCTAGTTGTTGTTATCATAAATTCAATTTTATTTGTCAACTTTATATTCGAATAGGATTTATATCAATTCTACCCAAATGCCAATCGCATTTTATTCAATACAAATCGTTCAGAGCGTCTTTAAAGCTGTTAACTATGCTCTCCATTACCCTAACATAAGACAGTTAAGCTAGCAGCTAAGATAAGACTGTTAAGCTAGCAGCTGTTAACAAAGAGCTTGAATGTTAAGCAGAAACTGCCTTTTTTTGTATTCCTTAAAAGTAGTTTCTAACTATGTCATACAATGTGTTGCTCCTGACATATCAGCAAAATCGTATCAATAGCGATTAATATTTTCACAAAGCTCCATTCCATTGATAAAAAGCAAGAGTATTTCCTCTTCAGCATGCCGAAAAAAGGCTGTTCTTGTTGTTCATTTTGTTTTATCAGAGCGCAGGATCGCAGTGAGAGAAAAATAGCCTCTCCTTCTGCCTCTCTTTTGCTGCGGTTCGCGTAGATTTTAACTGTTGTTGTCGCTGCTGCAGCTTTAAGCGGCTGGAGGGGGGGGGAGGGCAATAAAAGCGCAGATTAGTTAAATGCGTTTTCAAAAAACATTTCAGTTGGCATTGCTTTTCCCTTCTTTTTTTTTATATTATTATTATTATTGTTAATATTGCGCAGCAATTGTGCTGACGACGCTGCCAAATCAAATAACTGTGAAAACAACAACAACAGCAGCAGCAGCAGCAGAAGTAACGGCGGAGTTGACAACAGCGCAGCAGCAAAAACGTGAGTCTGGGGGGGGGGGGGGTGTAGAGTAGGTGGGAACACTGCGCTGTACGCTCAACGCGCACACAACACAGAAGAAGCTGGCGCCATACACGTGCTGCTGGCATTTGCGGCGCAATCGGTGGGTGGGTGGCGCTGACTAAAAACTGCGCTTCAAATATTTGAAAAAATAAAAAAATACCAATACACACACACGAGCCACACGAGTCAGAGTCGAAAAACAGCCGCGTCATTGTCGAAGGCAGTTGAGGAGGCGGTGAAAGTAATTCTTTTGTTGTGCTATTCTAATCAGCAAGAGCGACAGAGAGAGAGAGAGAGAGGGAGAGAGCGAGCGCAGTCAGCTGCATGGATATGTGTGCGTGTATGTAAACACTTGCAAATGCGTGTGTGTAATAAACCGTAATAAAACAACAATGTGCAGCAATAATAACATAAACAACATTCTTGCAAAGTCGCAATTTCGCAGCGCGCGCGTGTAAGCGAGAACGAGAGCGACAGACAGGAGGTAGAGAGAGAATGAGTCGGAAATTGTCTAATTGGAATTTATTCTTGTTGCGCAGGCAGCGCGCAATTGCGACGCCGACAGCGACGCTTGCATGATCAGAAACACAGCTTGTTGTTGCTGCTAGCAATTTCAATGCCACTGTCAAAGTTGCGCGTCGGCGTCATTGATGAACACACGCACACGCACACACACACACACACACACACACGCAAGCGCCCCGTTTCGTGTTCTCACTCTCACGCATGCATGCCATGGCATTTGGCCGATGCAATTTATCGATTAAAGCTTTAAATATTTAATGCAACATTTTTGCACACTTTTTGACATTCGCTTCGAGGGCTGCGCACACACACACACACACAGTCACAGACACGTGCTCGGACAGAGGAGCAATATAATTGTAATTGTCATTGCGCAAACCTTTGCAACGGCTGCTGTTCTTTTTTTTTTTTCAAAGATTTTTTGTGTTTTTTTTGTCTGTCGTTTAATTAATGCTTATTATTTGAGTGTTATTGCGTTTTAAGCAAAAAGGCGAAAAAACTCGATTATTGCGTTGACCTTGTCTCTGTGCGTTTGGCAAACGACGACGCCGTCGACGGCGACTGCGTCGCTGAATTCGACGCGGCGAAATCGGTCATTGAACTTTGAACCAAACAAAAGGCGAGAGAGCGTATGTATAATAAACGTAGCGAGAATGTAAATTTTGCCGTTGCCGTATGTCTCTGCCTGTGTGTGTGTGTGTGTGTGTGTGCGTGTGCCAGCGGGCATTCCGTTACGCACTTAACCAAAAAACGAAATACAAAGAAGAAATAAGAAAAAAAAACAACAAATGAAATGAAAGCATTTCTCGTTGTCTCTCTTCGCTTTTTGCGCAAGTCAAGCCATTAAAGAAGAAAAAAATGGAAAAGAAACTTAAAAGAAAATGCTTTCAAAAGCGCTGTCTGCTGTCGTTTTATTATTATTTTAAATTTGTTTTTTTCGGGGCTAATCAGCAAGCAGCACGGCCCGAAAACGCCTACAAAGTATTTTTAGTGCTGCGCGCACCCAAAAGCAAAAAAACGGGAACACACACACACACACACGCACAACATTTATTTACTGTTGCGCAAAATACTTTCTAACAATTCATATACATATATACTATGTATTTCTGTTAAATATTAATTGCATTTGTTTCATTTAGTCGCTGTGTGACCATCAAGAAGAAGACAGAAAAAAAGTGAAGCAGCAATGGCGGCTATTTGGGTCACGCATGACGCGCGCGTCTGCGACTAGAGCATGCGTCCGTGCGTGCGTGCGTGCGCTGCTGTCTTAGCAAACAAACAAGGAGTGTGACAGAGAAAACAAGAGAGTCTTAGACCAGTGTTGCCAACTGCAGCTCAAAAAAAAGAGCTTAAAATAGCTAAATTAGATGATAATAATAATACAAGTTGCTAGCCAAAAACAGCTAAATCAGCTGAGAGCTTTGGATGAAGGCAAATTTAGTTAGACTATTTGATATTTGGCAACACTGCTGCCCAATAATAGCCAAACTCACTCGCACTGAAATATAGCCATAAAATGGCTGTAACTAATCAGAACTGTCCAAAACGTCGCCAGCACTTACTCTTCATATACATTTACATCACAACAAATCATCATGCACAGTTGAGACTCCCAAAGTTTCCATTTGTTATTATTTACTGCGAAGCTAACTTCCATAAAATACATTAAATGTTTTGACTTTATTAATTTATCCACCCCATTCCATCGCCATTTCATTCGAAATCAAATAGCCAGATTTTCAGGCAGTTGTAAAATAAGCAAGTTTGCAAAAATAGCTAAAATGTCAACACTGATAGCGCCGGGCTGCGCATATGTGTGTGTGTGTATGTGTGTAAGCTTGTGTGTGCAAAGCGAAAGTAGAAGCACACGCCCGCGCTCTTCCTCTACCTCCCGCTCTCGCTCTCTCCCTCTCTTATTGTGTGTTGACGTCAAACGTTGCTGGATCGTTAGGTTTTCGTTTAGTTTTAGAAAACTACTGCCGCCCCGCGAGAGATAGATAGTGAAAGGGGTGAAGGGGGGAAGCGACCACCCACTAAATGCAGAGTTGCCAGCTGCGCGTGAAATTTAATTGGCGCGTCGTGTGGGATTCTGCGTGGGGGCTGCCGATGCCGTTGCCTTTGCCTTTGATTTCGCTCGTAGACCAAAAATAAATTATGATGCATGCGAAAAGTTGTTGCTGCCTGGTTAAAAATAAACACACACACACACACAAACACAAACACCCACACATATGTATGTGTATATACAAACAGTTAGTTTGGCTTCTCTTGATTGTTGGTACATTTGTGACGTCACAGCGATCGGTCACAAGCACAACTCGTGCAATTGATAAGCTGTCTTGACTGATGGCAACGCGCATAGTTTTTTGATTGATGGCCACACTCAACTGTGTGTGTGTGTGTGTTTGTGTGTTTGTGTGTGTCCACAGTCCATGAGTTGCATGCTGCTCAGTGTTGTCAAACTTTGTCAAAACAAAATGCAAATACGCTAAAAGCTTGAAAACTTTGTTTTATATTTTTTTGCTCTTGTCATTTGGGAAGTGAGCTGAATGGAATTATAAATATGAGTTATTTCAATTTGAAGTAATACATTAAATCAACTTTTTATGCATAGCAATATTTATTTAATGCAATTAAAATTTTAATGGAGAATGAATAAAACATACATAAGCAAGCTGACATATTTTGTATACATATATGACAGCTTATGTGCTATATATTTAACTTTTAGCTCTTAACAAGCTTAAACTAGCTTTTTTGCGTGTGCGCTTCTTTAAGAATTGGGGCAACACTGGTGATTAATGCTCATGACTATCAGATGCCATTTGAATGTCGTCGCCGTGACGCATACGCCAAATGTGGCTTTTTGATTTTGTATATACTTTTGTTGTTGTTTTTTGTTGTTTTTTGTTTTTGCAGCGTGTGAATCAGAGAATTAAAAAGAATCATTGATGATGAAAACTGGTTTTCGGCTTGCACTGAACTTGTGCCGGCTGCTAATGTATGTATGTGTGTGTGTGCGTGCGTGTGTGCGTGCGTGCGTGCGTGCGTGAGTAATGTGCCTTGCTGCAGCATTTGCAATTATGTGGCAACACTGTTCATTCAATTTGCATGGCAACAGGCAGCGCAAACAAATGCCAAAAAAATATATCAGAATAATAGCAACAACAACAGCAACAAACACTTTCACCGTGCGTGTGCGTGTGTGTGTGTTTGTGGGGTGACTGTTAAACATATTAAAACATTTGCGCACACATTTAATTAGAAAAGAGCACAAGCTTGGCCTGGCAACAACAAAGGCGCTTAACAGCTGTCAGCCATAGCACACAGCTTTAAGTCGGGCTTTCTATGACTGCTGCCTATTTGTGTTTGTGTATGCGTGTGTGTGTGAGTGCGCGTGGCGCTCAAGCTTCTTAGCCGCGCTGCTGCTAGAACTCGCATGCGCTCTTCCTCTCACACACACACACACACACACACAACAGACGGGCAGACTGACAGACACATGCGTCGCGTGTCGTTCGTTCACCTGCCGCGCTTGCCAGAATACAGTGTGAGAAGAGAGAGAGAGAGAGAGTGAGAGCGCGGCAGCGCTTTCGCGTGCATGTGTGTGTGTGTGTGAGTCCAGCGTGTGAGCAGCGCGTGTTTTTTTTTTCCTTTATTTGGTTTCTTTTTTCTTTTGCGCCGCGCAAAATGTTATTGAATTGTATTTTTGCGCACACACACACACACACACACACAGACACAGATACCTACGTTTATTTATTTGTATATATAACTGTAATGAACTGTTTATAAAATGTGCAACTAAGCTTTTCTCTATTCTGTTTCCTTTTGCAGCTCTCCAAGACGACATCAACAACAAAGCAGCAGCAGCAACAACAACAGCAACAACAACAACAACAACAGCAGCAACAACAACAACTGTGTTCAGCGTTTATGTCAAAAAAGAGAAACAAAAATCGTGCGTGTTATTTTTGTTGTGTTTCGTTAATTCGCTCATGAAATGTTTGTTCCCATGCAAAATGTGCAAAACAGTACTTTGTATTAACAACAACTACTACAACAACTTCAACAACAACAACAGCAACAACAACAGCAACAACAACAGCAGCAGCAGCAACATTAACTTAAAGACAACAACAACAATAACTTAGTTACAAAAACAAACGTTTTTTTTTTGTGTCCGCCTTTCGCATTTCTCTCGCTTCGCGCGTGTGTGTGTGTGTAGGGGGCAGAGAGAGAGAGACTGAGAGAGAGAGAGAGACGGAGAGAGAGTTTTTTGTCTTGCGTTTTTGGGCGCTTGCGCGCGCACACACACACACAGACATTCACAGACACACATCTATATATATGCACACAGACACACGTGCGCGTAGGTAGTGTGTGTGTGTGTGCAATGGATTTGCATTGTGATTGCAAATGCATGAACTTGCGTGTGTGTGTAAATACGTATGTGTATATGTGCATAAATGCGACGGTAAATAAATGAAAAACGCAAAGTCATCAGCATTAGGAGCAACAAAAACAGTAACAACAATTAATCGACGTGCATGTGTGTGTGTGCAGCGGCAACAACAACAACAACAACAGCAGCAGCAACAACAGCAGCAACAACAGCCGCAACAACAGCAGCCACAACAGCAGCAGCAGCCACTTAACAGCAGCAATAACATTAACATACACATAACATAGACGTAACATTCAAAGCAAATCCAACAAAAGACTTGAAAAGTGTGTTCATTACTTTAAAGAAAAACAAACAAAACAAAAGAAAACAAAAACAAAAAAGGAAACAGCAAATAAAAAAGCAAACGCAAAATAAATTAAAAAAAAATTATACATATATTGTCTAACATAACATACACACACATATATATATATATATATATATATATATAAAAGAAAGATAAAAAACAGCCCAAAATATATGAATTATATATACCCAATATACATATACAACAGACACACGAACAAAAATAAAAACAAATTCAGCAAATTCAGTAACCAAATTAACAACGAGAGGTAAATAATTAATTGCCGCAACAAAGTTAATCACTAATTTAATTTAAACGAACAAGAACAACAACCAAATCGCAAATCATTTACAATTTACGCAAATTATATGTGAACAAAGAATACATATATATATATATATATTTATATCTATATATATATATACGTAACACATATATGTATATGTATATCTATAGATATATTATAAATGCCCATATACCTGCATCTAGGTATACATAACATAATTCAGCATTAAGCATTAAACCAACAACAGAAGCCACATGTATAGATTGGAGGACACGAACAGCGGCGCCGTTATGGATAAGAACAAGCAGAAATGTAAGTAACAGCTGTTAACAGTTGAATGTTAACTCTTTAACATGGGGCCTTTATTAACCAATTATTATTATGTAAATTATAAACTGTTATTCATCTGGAATAGAAAGCTGAACTAGAAAAAAGAGTTGATAGACTATCGAAATGTTAACTATTTTCTTTTACTATCGATTGTACTCCTTATACTAAAACTGGCATTATCATAATGCATTTGTTACTTTGCACGATCTTCCAGTTGTCTCATTAAATTGGTGTTTTTTTTTTTTTATAGCTCTATATGAATATCCAATTTTGGATTTTTCATATTAATTTATTTCAGTTCGTTGACCCATAAACACATATTTTCAGTTTAATAAAACTCATACTATAGAAATGTACCTGAAATTATCGAAAAGAACCAAATTTTCCTTCATCGATGGTTTAATCGTTGTTTTAATAGCTCTATTAAAAAGATTTATAGCCTGATTCCACTATGCTCAACATTTGTTGCATTTAAAAACGTCATATTCTGCGGTTTTTATATGGGACGTACAGGCAACATATTTCACATTCGCAAAAAAAAAAAGTGAGAAGTGTTGATAGTGGAATTAGGCCAAGTTCGAAGTCGAAGTCGAAGTCGAAGTTCAACTCCAACTCAACTAAGCTATATAGAATGCCAAAGTGATACGATCTTTGACTGCATACGAAATGCGTACTCCCTGCTCGATATCAAGGTGAAGGAAACTTCAATTGAAAGATTAGCTATATTTGAAGTCTAAGTTTTTACTTTGATTTCCACGCAAAGTCTGTCTTTCGCCTTTCTCACACAGTGAGCACTCGCAAACGAGAGCGTTTCGATTTTCAGAGCTGCAGATCTACAGAAAATAATTATTAAAATTTAAACAATGAATATTTGTTTGGCTCAAGGTTCGGCGTTATTTTATTCAAAACAAAAATAAACACAATTTTGTTGAAATTTCACTTTAATTTCAATTTAAATGTTTATTTTAGTTTCTTATTATTTGCATTGTGGTTCGAGTTCCTTTGGAATGAAGCTTTGCACAAATGAAGCTTTTTCATTTAGCGAACGATCACTGTATTCTGCGTGCCGAAATGTTCTCTCGGCTCTCACACGCGAGTGTCATAGCAGCCAGCTGCTGTTTAGATGCACTTGTTGCTGTCTTCTGTTCTCTCGGCTGTCACACGCGAGTGTCATAGCAACCAGCTGCTGTTCAATTGTAACTGTAGATGATTTCCTCTTTAGACAACACTTACGTGAGAGAGCGAGAGAGAGAGAGTGTGTGTGTGTGTGTGTGTGTGTGTGTGTGCGCGATTCACTTATCAGTTAGCTCTTGATCGGCTTTTGAGAGGAGGAGCTAATTTCGCGAGTAGCTGATTAATGGACTTCCCCTACTTCTCCCGTACTTTGGCTCGATTTGTTTAGTGCATTTGAATTCCGCGAATCGCTTTATCACTGGCGCCGTCCGTGTCTGCCCCTCAATTTGTCAGGTGCTTATTACAATCCGCAACAGCAAGTGCTCTGATAACGACTAGCAGATACTCTGTAAATTTGTAATCTATATAAATATATATACATATATATATAAGCTGTGCTTCTTCTGCTCTGAGCCCTGTGATTTATTGTTAGATAACTTTTGTGTTTATTTACCGATTGTTACGAACTTTTCGATTCTTAAAGTTGGCACTTAAAAGTGTGTTTATAGCAAAAATTTGGGTCTCTTTTTCAGTCGTTAAATAGAGGAGAATAAGTTTAAGTTTAATAATATTCCCAGTAAGAGAACCTTTGACATTTCTGAGAATGGGAAAGGGTACATAGATAGATATAGATAGATAGATTCTAGTTATACCCTACTCGATCAACTTCATCGGTTACAGGGTATTAGAGCAGTCGCACAATTGCAGCCATTGTTGGGCCATATGCGTGATTCACTTGACAGGCGGACGTGAGTTTCCACTAAGCCAGTTTTGCTGATAAAAAACGTTCTTTGGATATTGCTTGCCCGCATTTAGCATCGATGCGAAGCGAATTCCTTTCCCCGTCTGAGAAAATGTCGTCGAGACTATTTTTGGCCGTGCCGGCGACGACCACACATTACAGGCAAGACCCAAACGGACCCCCGATCCTATAAATAGTCGCACACTTGCAGCACATCATCGTCGTCGAGATGCAGGCCGGCGGGTTGCACGCGGATCAACCATTTAGCTCCATAACCCAGCAAATTGGCAAGTGATCAACTTTGATTTAATAATAATAAAACGAGCGGCAAACTAAAATTTCTGATCTGCGCAATGCCGCTGCTTGAATACCCTTCAAATGGGCGCTCAACTGTCTCGAGGGGGATCCAAATTCAAGAGATCTTTGCCTTGCCATCTATTTGGGGCAAGTCTTGAGAGCAGCTAGACAGAAGCCAGATCAATTTATTGTATTTACAGTGAACACTCGCGAAAGCGAATTTGTTGCCAATTTGCATAACATTTTCTCTTTTTACTCCAATTAAGGCACATGAAATACTTTAGTTCAATGAGAAAGCAAGCCGAATATCTCATACCCTTTCTTGACATTTGCCTTACACCTTTGTAGCTATGGGAGGCTATAGTGAAGCTCGCAAATGCGATTCTTCCTATAGTGCTATATAATATAGTAGAGGAGGGATATTGTTAAGACTTGGCTCAGCTATAGGTAACTTAGTTAATCCAGTTAATGTCGTGTCTAAGTAAGATATATTGATGAACAAAGAATCTTTTCCATGCGCGAACTTCATTTACGAATGTTGCCTTCTATGGCAGCTATATGATTTAGTGCTTCGATCCGATCAGGTCCGATCTATGAAAGACGGATCTAGCAGAGAAGTAGACGAAAGGACGGGGAAACATGGCTATAACGAATCGATCGACGAATGATCAAGATCAAGTATGTATATGCCTTATCGGTTCGGAGATGTCTTCTTCTATGCGTAACACATATCATGACAAAATTGTGATACTCTCTACGATACTCCCTATAAAACGGAGGGAATTTTGGATGGAAAACGAGTCATATAAAAGGAGAATGATTCATCAAATTGCGGGACGAGTGTAATATCTGAAAGCTAGAAACAGTTTTTTTTTCAGAGAAGAACTCAACTCTTCTAGCATTAATAGTTCGAGCTCCGGACCAGAGTGCAAAGTTGATCCAGAGTTGCCCTGGCAATTGTAATCCCTGTTATTTACAAGCTAAATGAATAGTTGATTTGGGAGCAAAAATGTTGCAAGTTTTCATTTATTTCTAGAGCTGAGAAAACAAATGGGGGTTACATATGTATGTTGTGGCAATGTGGCCATGCCCCAAATGTTAGGGTATACAAATGCACGCACAGACAGACTGCATTTGTCGTCGTCGTCGTCTTTTTAATCCCATTTCTGGCGTTCGCTAATTTGTGGCATTAATTAAAATTAAATAAATTTCGCAATTGCTTTTGTTTTTCTCTCGGCACTTCCTCATCGAAACAGAAACAAAGGAAAGTGTATAGGCGTGTCTGTCTGTCTCTCTCTCTCTCTCTCTCTCTCTCTCTCTCTCTCTCTCTCTTTCTCAGTGTGTGTGTGTGCTATATTCTGGGAATTTCGTTATCTCAAAAGTCTATTTCAACTGTTAACCAAAAAAAAAAAACCAGCTGAAAATGGATCACGAAACAGAAAAGAAGAGCTTCCGCTTCGTGTGAACGTCGAATGGAATTGCGGAAAAACAGCTGTTGTTTAATTAAAAATCAGCTGTTCGTGTTTTTCTTTTTTTTTTTCCTAAATAAGCTGCATACCAAAGGAAAGAAATACCAAATGTTAGTCACTCGAGCTACCAAGAACTGAGAAACACAGCTGAAAGCAAAACAATTGAAGAGAACTTAACAAGTAAAAAAAAATAAACAAGCCCGGTGGGTGGCAACTCTGGCGCGTAGAGTGAAATTACAAGTTTTGAACTAAACTTAGAGCTGGCAAGCTTAAAAGTTCACATTGGAACTCTAAAAAAAAAACATACTTAATTGCAATTAAACTACTGAAGCGATGGCAGCTCTGGTCTAAGAAAACGCGAGTGAAAGATTAAACGATTCTATGTAAAAAGAGATACTCAAAGTGTTGCTTGAGTGGTTGGGTGGCAACACTGGCCAATAACCTAAGTAATGGCAACTCTGGCCTAAGAAAACACGAGAGACTGCAACTTTAGCTTAAATCTTCAATGATTTGATGTTAAAACTAAACTGAGGCGGCAACACTGGTCAATAAAGAAGCGTAGATCATGTGGATAGACAACCCTAAAACTCTGGCTTAAAGCTTAGAACTCTAAAAAGTGTATTGAATTAAAAAAAAAAAACAAAAGTGATGGCAACTCTGGCCTAAGTTAACCTGAGTAACTGCGCATAATAAAGAAAAAAACGACATAGGAGACGCCCCAGAGTCCCCCGACTTACCTACGTGATGCTCCAGCCTTATTCAAACAAGCCGCCTTTGACCTTTGTCCACGATAAAGCCTGAAAAAAGCCCAACCAGCCTTGGCCCAAATATCACCTAAGCCAACTGTGTTGTAATAAAAATTGATGCTATTTTTGATTCAATACAATAAACATTTATACCAAAAAAAAAGTACGTTCAAGCAAAGTCAAGCTTAAAGCTTTCAAATTGAACCTGAACTGATTGCCACAACAGAATTTGCTGTGCGCTGGCAACTCTGGCTCAACGAACGTGCCATAATGCGGATCATCATCATCATCATCATCATCATTATCATTATCAACGTCATTATCATTATCAACGTCATTATCATGATCGGGTGCCGTATTTGATGGGTTCAGGGCGCATATCACGCTTGGCCATCGTCGGCTGCAGCCCCCCCCCCCCTTTCCCCCCTGTTTCCGTCCGTGCTGAAAATTTGGCAACGGAAGAAGAAATGCAGCGACAAACGTCTCGGCGTAAAAATAAAACAGACGCGCGTCCAAAAGGCTGAGCAAATAATGTTGCTGTGTCTGTCTTCAAAAAAAATAAATTGACGCAGTTCGCGTTGAAATCTCACGCGACGCAGATCGCGCGAGCCAAGCCGAAAGAACTATATAAACTATACACTATATAGTATATATATATATATGTATATTTAGCACGGAATGGATTTCAAATGGAATGCATTACAAATGAAAAGAGTGCATCAAATTGATAAATCGTTGGAACCAGCCAAAAACAAATGCCGCAAATTTCATTGAAAAGAAAGTGAAATAATTAGAAAAAAATAATAATAATAAATATATATAGAAAAGTGTATTTTTATGTGTAGAACTGTGTGTGTGTGTGTGTGTTTGCTTCTTTTTTTTTTTTTTAGCAGTGTGTGAAACGTAAAAAACGGGCAGCGAGAAGCGCAAGAAGCGAAGCAAAAGCAAGAGAAGCGCATCGCAGAAAATATATTTATATAGTCATTAATAACACAGAAACAGAAACAGAAACCTCCTCCCCCCTTCGCCAAGGAGGGGGCGGCGGCGGCGGCGGCATCTTCGCACCTGACTCAGCCAAGACTCGTCAACACGAACCGAACTCGAAATGTCAACGGCTTTGGTCTACTGGCAGTCAATGAACGCCTCGGCAGCTGGCCATGAGCCGGTCGCGACCTCCGCAACGGCAACGGCAACGCCAGCTGGCGTCAACGCTTCTTCCGCCTGGCCAGCTCCGACGTGGAGCAACTGGAGCAATGGCAACGGTAACGGCAACGGTAACGGCAACGGTTATCAGATCCATTTGCAGCTTGAAGAGCCGCATTATCTGGCCCAAATCGATTGCCAGCACACGGTCAAGAGTTTCACCACGAATCCCTGCTCCAAATTCAGGGCAACTACTGTCACCAGCCAAGCGAGCGGCAAGCGATCGGATTATCCATCAGCAGCATATTGTTGTAAGCGCAAAGAGTCCGCAACAGGCTAAATTCCCTTCCCTTTCCTTAAATTTCCTTTACTTGGTTTCTTGCTTATAGATATTGTTTCTTTCCTCGTTGCTTCAATGAAAGAAATCCCTCTGTTACGTTGCTTTCTGTTGTCTTTATGCATTTGAATTTGGCTTTCTTAAGTTGCCTTTAATATTTTGCATTCTCCACGACATTTCCTGACTACTCTATTCGATTTTAAATTACCTCGCTTTGCGCCCGCTTTTTCTAGTCAAAACAAAGTATAACCCGAAGAGAAAGAAGAGGAACAATAATAATCTCTAATAAAATGGTGTCATCTTCCACTCCAAGGCCATGAGGTAGAAATCTGTAATGAGAATAAAAATGTTGAAGAGCACAGATAGGCTCAAGCTTCAAATATGCAAGCTTTCATATTCTATTCTATTAAAGCTTAAAGCCTAAAACTTAAAGCTTAAAGACAGCTTCTTTAAAGTTTAATCTTAAAGCTTGATTTTGTGCTCGAAAATTAAGTGAAGAGAACTTTGGGCAAGAAATAAGTGACAATTAAATAAGCTTATTTGTATTTAATGATTGATTAGGCAAACCTCAAAGGCTCGTAAAAGCTTGAATTTACGCAAAGCTCGTTTTAGTTCGCTTTTGGGCAATCTAAGCTGCAAGCAAGCTAATTTGTGTTACATCAGTACGCTTGATGCGCAGTCTTCATGCTGAAGTTCATGTTAAACTTCATGTTAAGCATACCCAAACAGCTATTAAACCTGAAGCAAGCAAAAATGTATAATCATAAGCATAAAACTCTCATTAGCGCTGTTAGATTTGTATTCATGTTAAAGTTTATGTTAAAGTTCATGTTAAGGTTCATGTTAAGCATACCCCGAGTGGTTTTGAATGCCAGTTAAGTACAGATATTAAACTTAAAGCAAGCACAATTCTGTTAAGCAGCTCGCTAAAAGCGCGCGTCAGTGCTTTAGACTTGTTTTCATGCGTAATAGTTCATGTTAAACTTCATGTTAAGCATACCCAAAATGTTATTGAGCACCGTTTTCTGGCTTATTGCGAGGGGCGAGAATCGGTCGGGGCGCTGCCTTGTCGCGATCTTTGTTATGCGCAATGAAATTGTCAATTCATTTGCGTTGCCCCCCTCCCCCCCCCCCCCTACCCTCCCTCTTCCTCTCAGCCTCCTCTTTTGCTCATTCAGTTGTCAGCAATTGCGAAATGCAATATCTGTTTCAATGCCCCCGCCCCGCCCCGCCCCGCCCCTCGAACTGCCGCCCATTTCCAACTGTGCGCTGACTACCCTTTTGAGCTATTTTTGACTCGCAGCAAAACAGAGAGACGAACAACTATCTATATATATGCATGCATGTATGTATGTATGTATGTATGTATGTGTGTATAACGGTGTCTGTGTGCATATTGTGTAATAATTCTTATTGAACGTTTTTTGTTGTTGTTGTCTAGTTCTAAATTTAAGTAGGAAAACGTAATTTGGGCGGGTTTTTCTTCTTTTTTTTTTTTTTTTGGGTTCGGGGCTTTGGCAGCAGGCGGCCTCAGGTGTGCGCGACAGGTGCTGCAACACTTGCCCAGGTAGACTCGGTCAATGAACTCACATTCTCTCTCCCTCTCTCTCTCTCTCTTTCTGATTCTCTTGCAGTATCCGCTGGCTATGGTTCCAGTGGTGGCGCCGTGGACACATCGCAGGGCAGCGGGAGCGGCGGCGGCGGCGGCGGCAGCGGCAGACAGCGCCATGCGCCGCTCTACGGACGCTTTGTGGTCGAAGAGGAACTGCCCGCCACGCATCGTGATGTTATGCATCATGTGAGTGCCATCTATAATATATATATACTATAATTAATTCTAATTGTTATTCGTATGCTGCTTCTCCCTAACCTCCTCCTCCTCCCTAACAGCACTCTAGTCCTTCGTCTTCGTCGGAGGTGCGCGCCATGCAGGCACGCATACCCACACACTTTCGAGATCCGGCCATGGCGCCGTTGCGCAAGCTGAGCGTCGATCTGATAAAGACCTACAAGCACATCAATGAGGTAAGTAGAGAAGCCAATTGTCACTCTCTCACTCCCTCACTCCCCGACTCTCTTGGCAACCTTGGCAGCCTTGGCAGCCACTTGGCCGGCCATCATTGATCAGCGAAATTCGACAATTAGCGCGTGCCCGTCCTTGACCCGGTTAACATGCAAAACCCAAACCGTCAACTGATTTGCTTGTTGACAAACACGCAACTGAAATTTTGCCAAATGCGACGGGGCTCACATGGGTTTTTTTTTTCAACTATCGCATGGCAGCAAGAATTGGTCGATGCGTTTCGCGGTTTGCTTGATTTTAGACAAAAATTAGAGCTCGAAGCCATTTAAAGCCTAGAAGCCCAGCCGAAAAAGCAGCTTACATAGACACTTAACATTGGCCTGCTGTTAGCTTTTGCGTCATGTTAACTACAGCAGACCTCAACAGAAATTAGCAGAGGATCGCCAGTTAAAAGAAATGAGCGCTTAAAGCAGACTCTCCCCTTCTCTCTCGCTCTCGCTCTCTGCGCTCTTTAACTGTTAATATGCAAATGGGCAAGCGAATGCGCTTCTTCGTTTGTTAAACGGATTTTCACTTGTGCGCCGCATAAATTAAGCGTCGAATTGTACGAAAATGCAAAACTGCAAATGCCCAACTTAATGCATGAAAAGAGCTTTAAAGATGTTGTCCAAAGTGAAAGTCGCGATAAAATTGTCTGATAAAAAAAAAAGTAATTAAATGAAATGAAAGAAAAAAAAGGTTGATTAAATGATTAACCCATGCAACAGCAGCTACAATTAATTGGCCGGCAAAATGTTGCACACGCACGCACACACACACACACACACACACAACCAGCAGCAGAACCAAACCCAAAGCGCCTGAAAATATGCCCCGTTACTTGTTACATTGTTCGAGCTGCCTTATCGGCGCATTTGCAGGCGCTGACGCTGACGTCGACGCTAACTGCGCTGTTTTGTATGCTACACAAATGCACACAAGCACACGCACACACAAGCGAGAGAGCGAACAATTAACTGTGACGTTGCGTCGGCTACGGCCCACAGCAAACGTCATTGCCAGGCAACGGCGGCAGACGCCGCAAAGTAGCAGCAGCAACAGCATCAGCAGCCGACGCAGTCGACGTCGACGTCGCCGTCGGCATACACCCATTTTCGAGCATTGCTCTCAGCTCGACAACGACGCGCTCTGCACGTTTATTTCTACAACGTTCGGGTCAGCACAGCCGCAGCCGCAGCAATTGTTCGCAGTCGTCTTTTAGGCGTTGTTGAATTTTCGTCTCTCTCGTTCTCTCGCTCTCCGTCTCGTTACACCAACGTACATTGTGTTCTCGCAGCTCGCCCTCGCTCTGTTCAACATGCTTGCCAGAGCAGCGCTCTCTTTCGCACCGACGCTCGCATGCGGGGTTAGCAACAACTTTTTTTTGCCAAGCCAGCTGCATACAACGTTTTTCGCCAAGCCAATGAGCTGGCTGTGGGCAGCAAAGAGACGGGCAGGGGGGGAGGTAAGCGTGTTACCACAGTGAGTCAGGGGCAGGTTAGGGAATGGTAAGGGGGAGACACAGACCGATTTTGTATAGAGGTTTGATATTAATCGGGTTGGGGAAGAGAAAAGTACAGAAGTAAGTGAAAACTTTACAAACTAGCAACTAATTAATTAAAATTGCAAAGAAATTTAATTACTGTAAAAGTTGATATGTGTGAATAAAGGTATGCATACATATATATAAGCTGCAAAAGTAACTGAAAAGTAAATAAATGTAAAAGCCAGACAAAGCATAGAAAGCAATTAATTAAAGCAGCTGTTAACGCAGTTTTGCGTCAGCAGCGAGCGCACGTTGAGCTGACTGTAGATTAGCATAATCCTGTAAGAATTAACGAAACCAGCTGCAATTATAACATTGCTGTAGTCCGTGACCTTAAATACATTAGAAAGCAGCCAATATATGATTGAAGACTTACTTACTTAAAGAGTTAATAGTTCCTGTGGGTAATGTAGGATATAGTAATTCGATATTGATCAGAACTTGCAGAATGAGATGACTTGTATCTTTGTCAACTGTGGAATATAGAGGCTGATCATGTATTTAGCCAGTAATGAAAAGAAGGACTTATCATATCTGGCTAAAATGATTTTCAATCAAATATATTTATGTGAATATGCGATAAGTTCTGTGACTAAGATAGAAAGCTCTCGGCAAGGATATAAACAAAAAGAATATAACACGCTGTTAACACAAGAGCTGCAGCTAACAGAGCTCGCTCGCTTATCGATAACAGCTTAAATTACCGTTCAATCGTCTCGATTAGGCGCGCGCACTTTTAAAATGTCTATTTTGATAAGCCACTTAAACTTTTCGCCAAGACATTTAATTGAATATAGACGAATAACTAAAACAATTTCGAAAAAATAAGTCTATAAATATATTTTTATTTTAACTCTAGGTATACTACGCGAAGAAAAAGCGCCGTGCCCAGCAGACACAGGGTGATGATGATTCGTCAAATAAAAAGGAGCGCAAGTTATATAATGATGGTTACGATGATGATAATCACGACTACATCATCAAAAATGGCGAGAAGTTTCTGGATCGTTACGAGATTGATTCACTAATCGGTGCGTATGACTTAAACCTAGTTGAAAATATAAAGAATATATATATATATGTGAATTGATTGGTAAAAGCTAGTATCTAGTTCATTTCCATGCATTGCCCACCCGTGGAAAAATGACAACTTTTCTATATGACTGGCCAATCAATCAATCAACATCATAGCTTACATCACAAAACAGTTGCTAACTACAATGGAAAGTTCAGCTTCAGCTGGGCTCTAAGAGCTTAAGCTCTGTACTGATCGTTAGCCAGTCAATCAATCAATCAATCAATCAACATCATTGCTTACATCACGAAAAAGTAGCTGACTACTGTGGAAAGTTCAGCCTCTTAGTTTTGTTGGGCTCAAGCTCTGCCTTGATCGTCAGTCAATCAATCAAAATTCAGCTTCTTGGCTCCAAGAGCTTTAGCTCTGCCCTAATCGTCAGTCTGTCAATCAATCAATCAAACATTAATAATGAAAAGTTCAGCCTCTTGGCTCTTAGGATTCAAGCTCTGGTTTGTTCGTCAATCAATCAATCAATCAATCAACATTACTTACAAGCAGGCAAACTTCTGAGTAAAGTTCAGCTTCAAGGCCTTTAGGATTTAGACTCTGCTTTGTTCGTCAATCAATCAATCAATCAATCAATCAATATTTGTACCTATCTAATAACAAATTTTGCTTCTCTTTACAGGCAAAGGCAGTTTTGGTCAGGTGGTTAAGGCCTACGATCATGAGGAGCAATGCCATGTGGCAATCAAGATAATTAAGAATAAGAAACCGTTCCTAAATCAGGCACAAATCGAAGTCAAACTGCTCGAGATGATGAATCGTGCGGATGCTGAAAACAAATACTATATCGGTCGGTACAAAGAGCTTTAAGCTTAAAACTCAAAGTTTAATTCCCTTTCTTCCTCTCTCTCTCTCTCTCTCTCTCTCTCTCTCGTCGACTTTCTCTCTTGCAGTCAAGCTCAAGCGCCATTTTATGTGGCGCAATCATCTGTGCCTCGTCTTCGAGCTGCTCTCGTATAACCTGTACGATCTGCTTAGGAACACAAATTTCCGTGGCGTCTCGCTGAACCTCACGCGCAAATTTGCGCAGCAACTGTGCACGGCCCTCCTGTTCCTGAGCACACCCGAACTGAACATAATACACTGTGATCTGAAGCCCGAGAACATATTGCTATGCAATCCCAAGCGATCGGCCATCAAAATTGTTGATTTCGGCAGCTCCTGTCAGCTGGGACAGCGCGTAAGTTCAATCTTTCCGATATATTATGTAGAGATAATCTAATGGGTAGTCGAAGGCGACTCTCGAATCTATAAAATATAACATAAGTTAAGTAAAGAGCGCAATGTGGTTGGGCATCTACCTCCAGTATGCTTAGAAGCTTCAGCTTCAGGAGTTCGTCCAGCTGAGTCTTTCCAGCCTTTTGTCCGTCTGTCCATTTGCGTTCAACACACGACAGAAGCTATCGATATGCATTTTAAATAGTTTAACGTCTCTTTTCGATAAATGCTGTCAATTTCATTATATCGATAAATATCGATTTGAAAGGAAAAGTTCAAACCCAGCTCGCAGCCTTGGATACTCTTTATCAGAGCATTAAGCCAGTTGAAGGTTCCGTTTATAGTAAAAAATAAAAGAAAAAAAAAAAAAATAATTTGAACCGTTAAAGTTCAAACCCAGTTTGCAGCTTCCGGCACTCTCTACCAGTTAAAGGTTTAGTAGTAAAAAGAAAAGAAGAAAATAGGAAATGAAATAGGAACCGTTAAAGCTCGAAACCAGTTTGGAACTCTAAGAACTTCTGACTTCTGGCATTAAGCCAGTTGAAGGTTCAGTTCATGGAGAAAAAACAAGAAGTAAGGAAGAGATAATTTGAGCCGCCAAAGTTCAAACCCAGTTTGCAGCTTCGTGCACTTTCTTCTAAGAAATTGAGCCAGATGAAGGTTCAATTCGTAGTAAAAAAAAATTATTTGCTTTGAACCAGTAAAGTTCAAACCCAGTTTGCAGCTTTAAGAGCTTCCGACTAGAGCATTAAACCAGTTAAAGGTTAAAGGTTCGTAGTAAGAAGAAAAGAAGAAATTAAGACATAATTTGAACCAGTAAAGTTCAAACCCAGTTTAAAGCGAGAGTATTCAGCCACAATGGAGTTGCATTTTTAGATTATAGAAAAATCAATATATCAATCATATATATATACATATATATATAGATATTTGCTTTGAACCGTTGAAAGTTCGAACCCAGATTTGCAGCCTGGATTCATTCTATTAAACTCCATCTAACAGTCTCGTCGTCTTTCGCAGATCTATCAGTACATCCAATCGCGCTTCTATCGCTCGCCGGAAGTGCTGCTTGGAATACAATATGATCTGGCTATCGATATGTGGTCGCTGGGCTGCATTCTGGTCGAGATGCACACCGGTGAGCCGCTCTTCTCCGGCTGCAACGAGTTCGATCAGATGAACAAGATTGTCGAGGTGCTGGGCATGCCGCCCAAGTATCTGCTGGATCAGGCGCACAAGACGCGCAAGTTCTTTGACAAGATTGTCACCGATGGCTCCTATGTGCTAAAGAAGACATTGAACGGTCGCAAATATAAGCCGCCCGGTTCCCGCAAGCTGCACGATATCCTGGGCGTCGAGACGGGCGGACCGGCCGGCAGGCGCCTCGACGAGTCCGGCCATTCGGTATCCGACTATCTCAAGTTTAAGGATCTGATATTGCGCATGCTCGACTTCGATCCAAAGACGCGCGTCACACCGTACTATGCCTTGCAGCACAACTTCTTTAAGCGCACCACCGACGAGTCGACCAACACGAGCGGCGCGGGCGCCACTGCGAATGCCGGCGCCGGTGGCAGCGGCTCCGGCGGCTCCTCATCCGCTGGCGGCAACAGCGGCAGCGGCAGCGGCGGAGCTCCAACTGCCACCGGCAACAACAATGCCAGCAATGCCAACAATGCCAGCAATGCGAACAATGCCAGCGGCGGCGCAACTGGCGGCGGTGCAGCGGCAGCAACTGGCGGCGGACCCGGCGTCACCAACAACAGCAGCAGCAGCAACAACAGCGTTGTCTCCTCCAGCGCCGCAGTCGCAGCCGCCGTCGTCAACAACAACAACTCCTCTTCGTCTGGCGGCAGCAGCAGCAGCAACAGCGGCATCGCCGCCGCCGCCGCCGCCGCCGGCGGCGCCACCGGACAACAGCTGCAGCTGCAGCTGCAGCAGCAGCAATCGCTCGTCTCCAGCAGCAACAGCGGCGCCATCGATCCCCAATGTTTGGGTAAGTGACACCATGTCTCTCTCTCTCTCTCTCTTGCTCTCTCTCTCTCTCTCTTGCTCTCTCTCTCTCTCTCTCTTTATCACACTGTTGCTTTGTAGAAATTGTTTAATTTTGTTATTGTGCGTGCTCCTTCTTCCTTATTTATTCTATTTTGTTTTTTTTTTATTTTTGCGTGAAAAACCACATGAAAAAAGTAGTGAACTATTCATGTGGTTCCTTTTTGAAAAGCGCTGCACAAATGTTTATCGATAAGTATTACAGAGCGTTGCGTACGTCAATCGATAACTAGTTTGTTTTGCATTCAAATAATAATATTTAATAATGCTAATCGATAAGTTTGGCAAAGCATTGCATCTTGTTATCGATAGCCAATTTGTTTTAGATTATAATAATATGGATTTATCGATCAGTTTTTTTAGAGCGTCATATCAGTTAATCGATATATTTTTTCTTCTTATCTATCGATATTGCGATATGTTGCATTTAAAAAATTTTTTATGATTCATCGATAAGTATTTCAAAGCTTTGCATACGTTAATCGATAAATAATTTGTTTTAAATTTTAAAAATATTGATTTGTCGCTTATCGATAAAATTGTCAGCATTGAATCTGTCAATCGATAACCAATTTGTTTTTTTTTATTTTACTAATAATTATTTATCGCTGATCAATAACTTTTTCAAAGCGTTGCATCTGTTAATCGCTATTGTCATATATATTTTACCAATCGATATTTCAACGTTTTTGTCGGTTAATCGATAACCATAAGCCGATAAGTATTCGAATGCTTTGCATCTTTTAAACGATAAACAGTATTTAACACTATGAAAATATTCATTTATCGTTAATCGATAAGTTTTTCAAAGCGTTACATATAAAGAAATGTTAATCGATAGCTATTTCATTTGGTTGCATTTCACAAATATTTTGTATCAATCGATGAGTATTTCAACGCTTTGCGTCTGTTAATCGATAACTTGTTTGTTTTGTTTTTCTACAAATGTTTCATTATCATTAATCGATAAGTTTATGAAAGCGTTTCGTATGATAATCGATAACTATTTTATTTGCATTAAATAGATATTTATTTTTTGACGTATCGACAAGTATTTTAATGCGTTGCATCTGTTAATCGATAACAGAGATTAATCGCATCTGTTTATCGATCAACAGATTAACTATTTAACAGTTTCCCTAATTATACAAATAATATTATTAATTACATCATATTTGGAATATGTTCCAAGCTTATTTTTGTATAAACTTTGTTCATTTTAGTTAAAAAAAAAAAAAACAAAAAAATCTCTTTTTTAATATTGAATGTTTTTTAACGAAGTTTTTCTTAAAATGAAAATAGTTTTCGATAGTTTTTTCTGCGGAATACAAATACGAATATGCATTATTTTTTTTTTTTAATCCGCTTTCTCTGTAGTCTAAAAAGTTAATCAATGTATTCTTAATATTTATTTTTTAGTAAATAGTTTAGTATATGTGTACATATGTGTGTGGATGTGCCACAACAATCTGTTGGATTGTGGCCATTTTTACTTTTTTTTTGTTCAACTGGAAATTGCACAACACTAATTTTGCGTACTTATTTTTATAGAACGTATTATCAAACATTGGTGCTATTTATGCAGACAAATTCCATGAATCCGATTGGAATCAAGATTTTGTTTACTTTTTGCTGCATGCCTGGCCTGTGTGTGTGTGTGTGTGTGTGTGTGTGTGTGTGTGTGTGTGTGTGTGTGTGCGTGTGTGTTTCTGTGTCTGTGCGCCGCAGAACGAAATTCGATTTGATCAAATTTTAAATGTTTTGTTTTCGAAAAATTTGAAAAATTGTTATGGCCAAAAAAAAAATAATTGATTAAAATTGTTTGTAGCTAAAAATGTTTTAAAAAACTCTGTCTTTATTTATATGTATATGGATAGATGCATATATAACCGAATTATGATTTCTGGTACTTTATACGACAAAAACTTAGTTGCATTTACGTACTACATATTAAGCATCTGTATTATTATTAAATATAAACCATGAGTGTTCTTTCGTAGCACCCCTTTCGATAAAAAACAGTGTTGTGAAACGTAGTATATATTTTTTTTTTTTTTTTTTGATTATTCATATTCATTTCTACTTACAAGGCAGAAGCAGGCGGAAGCCGACAAAGAAAACCAACTAATTTATGCCCCCAAACATATGCTCTCTTTTTCTAAAAAAAAAAAAAAAAAAAAAAAATTAATAATACTAAAAAAAAAAAAAAAAAAAAAACACATGCATACAACAAAAAAACATACACAAACGCTGCACAGACGAGCGTCGATGACCAGCAGCGGCGACTGCAGCAGCAACAACAGCGACAGCAGCAACAACAGCAGCAACAGCAGCAGCAACAACAACGGCAGCAGCAGCAACAACAACAGCAGCAACAACAACAACAACAACAGCAGCAGCAGCAACAACAGCAACAGCAAATTAGGCATCTAAGTTCTCAGGATAACATTAACAGCGACTGCAAAGCGCAACAGCAGCAGTAGCAGCGACAGCAGTGGAAGATGCTCAGCAACATTAACAGCAGCGTTAACATTTTACAGCTGCATAACAGCTGCATTAACAGTTTAAGAGCAGCCGCTGTTAACGACATGTTTGAAAGCGTTTCCACTACGCACGTTAAGGTTCTCGCCGTCTATTGTAAATAGCCAGAGGCTCTGCAGCTACACCCAACACTTTATTTTCCTAATGTGTGGCGTTTCGTTTATTTATTTTTTTTTTTTTTTGATATACATAATTATATATATGTATGTGATTATATATATAGAAAACGATATATATATATATCAATTTTTTTTTCGCACCTAGTATACATAAAATATAAACAAGTAAAATTTAGACACGATCCAAAAAAAAAAAAACAGATTATTAATAATAATCGAAAAAATGTTGTTTTTTTTTTTTTTGGTAACTTGTTTCGTTCAGTTTGAGTTTTGTTTGTTTAATATATATATTTTTTTTTAATTAATGACGCTAACAGCTAAGCATTTACTTGTAAGCAATTAGGGCCATAGTATTGTAAATTAAGGCAACGTAAGAATAAAAGAAGAAAAATACAACATCAAAAATAAAAGAAGTTAAAATTTAAATGATGAGAAAACTGTTAAAAATATAAGCAACACATTAAACAAGGAATCCTTAACGACTTTCTTAATGACTGCCATACATATATATACATACATACATAAAGACAAAAAAATAAAAATAAAATATATATAATATATAATATGCATATGCTATATACATATATATATTATGTATATAATATGAAATAAAATTATAAGTTAAACAGTAAATTTAACATCACAGCGTACATACACACACGCATACATATTCTTATATATACACATATATATACATATGTGTATATATATATATATATATGGAAGTGTGTACATAGGCTATATACTTGTGTGTATGTATTGATAATAGAGAGAGATTGAGGCAACAATTGCACACACATAGCTGATAGTAACGTAAAGCATTCAAGTCATAAAGAACAGCAACAGCAATTACTTAACAGTTCTATGTAATGTATAACACACAGACACACACTCACAGACGCTGTCAACTGTCAAAACGTATTTATATATATATATATATATATATATGTATATATATATATTGTTGTCATGCTTGCCTACTCTTTTGGTTGTTTACGCTTTTCCCACACACAACAAACACAAACCCAACACCCAGCACCAAGCTCGTTTCCACTCCCCAACGAGTTAACAGCGCACTGTTAAGCTGTTTACAGCACTGTCGGCGATCAGCACTGCACTCTGTTAATGCTCTGTTCACAAAGTAATTGGAGAAATCTTGAGACTTGCAACTAGAGACATGTTATAGAGACACGTGCTGCTGTCAGGCTAGTTCAAAGATTGAGCTCGAGCTCGTTGCCGACAAATTGAATCAAAGCTGTTAGCTGCTGATACGCTGTGAACAGAGCATTGCGCAGTCGGTTTTACAGTTGACTTGTGTTTAGGCGTTATTTACTGAGACTGATTCTACCACATACACATAGTTGTAAAACGGTTCACAATGCTTCCAAAATGAAAACGAAAACGAAAACGAAAACATTCAAAGGTTGATCTGCCGCCCACAAAACAAAACTAATATTGATGCATGCTTTCATCGTCTTTTCCATTTTATATTCATTTTGATTGGTCGAGTGTTTTTTCTCAGTTCTGTCTTATACAACACTGGCGATTTTTGTGATATTTGCATAGGAAGTGAAGAACCCAAAGCAAGAAAATGTTAAGACAAAAGAACGCTCTTTCACACACTTTGTCACTTTTGCACTCTCTTTCACACACACACACACACACATACGCACACACAAGTATTGTTAAGCTCTACTCTCGTGCAACCTAGATGCAGCTATCCCAAACTCACACACACAACATTCATTGCGCATACGTAAGAAAACTCTTGAAAAACAAAATTGTGCTTATTCAAATGTAAAAGCAATGTTAAATAACGAAAGCAGCTAAGCTGTAGCTTAACAGCTGTTAGCTAACAGCTTTGGCAAATAACAGTAAATAATTGAGCAAGTTTTTATTGATAGGAAGCAGAAGAAGAAGAAAAGAAGAAAATACGAAATACCAAATCTTAAACACACAAATCATAGTTTTAGGCGTGTGAAAATAGCAAAAAACTAATTTAATATTAAATAAAAAAAAAAAAAAACGAAACAAAAAATGGGCATGCAAATTAATTAACGTTACAAGTTTAGCGTTTAGGCATATTAATAAATAATAATATTGATAATACAAATAATAATTCAAATGGAAATCGTTTGCATAACAATATAAAACAGTACTAAAAAGAAAACTCTAGCATTTAACAGATACACACAGACATACACATACATATGTACATACATACATATACATGTGTAGACATATATGAGATAAATTATGCAAAATGAAAGAAATCAATTAATTTTTATTAAACTCGGACAGAGACAAGCAGATAACGAGATATAGAGATAGAGAGCGAGAGAGAGGAAGAGGAAGAGGAAGAGGAAAAGTTAGAGTTGGAGAGAAGCGATGTGAGTTATATATTTATGTGTGTATGTATAATTCAAGAATTTAGTGTTAGCCCCCGAGTAAACAATTCAAGAATTTAACAAATAATGCATAAATAAAATGAGAAACTTTAAAAAGTTGTGTAAAATACTTAAAGCAAAAGCCGAAAACAAGAGTGTTTTAAATTTAAGTTAAATTACAAGAAAGGAATACGCATCCACACACACACACAACCACACACACCACCACACACACACACACACACACACACCACCACACACACACACACATAGTTTAGTTGAGAATATTGCATAAAGCGCAGAAGAAAAACGAAATATTAAATAAAAGCAAAACTTGAACATGAATTGCAAGCATTTAGATTTAGGCCAAATGTGGTATACCAAAAAAAATTAAATGCATATTTAGAAATCACGCAACAAAATTTAACAATACCCTAAAACGAAAAAAAAAACAAAATACAAAAAACGAAAAACGAAAAAAGAAAACTAAAATAAATAAAACGCAACGCAAAAAGTGTCAAGTGAGAACGCCTCAAAGTATGCAGCAGCATTTCATGTTAAGCCCATGTTAACTAACAGCGAGCGGCCCACTAAATATGGCGTCCCAGCGTACATACACACACACACACACAGTCATACACAAACCCACACACACACACACATACACAGACACGCGCGAATGCATGCATGCATTTTCGTTCTGAACGACGCAAAATACACTTAACGAAAACAGTATAGCAAAAGGAAATTCAAAAAAAATAAGAAAAAATAAAAGAATAATGCTAAAGAAGAAAAACGAATAAAAACTGGTTGGCAATGAAATGCATTTAGTTGTTTAAAAATGTATTAAAAAGCATGGAATAAACAAAATACATAAATACACACACAACACACACACACACACACACACACGCACTCTCACGCATATGTGGCATTTATATAAATATATAACATAAAAGCTGATGGTTTAAGTTTAATGAGTACGAAATAATTTATGAATGATTACTAATTAATAAGTTAAAAAACCAAAAAAAAAAAAAAAATCAATTTAAAATGCAACCAAAAAAAGAAAGAAAACTAAAAGCAAAACAACAAAAAAAAGCGTAAAAAACCCTTCAATAAAAATTTATGATATAATCAACAAAAAAAAAACAAAAAACACCAACAACAGAAGCAAACTCTTGCAGTGTGGCAACCTTGCACTGGCGCTCGCTCTTATCATTTACAGCTGCAATTTTGATTGAACTCTTTAACATTTGCCTTTTGCAGGTCTGCTATTGCATCACACAAACAACAATCACAGCAACAACAACAACTCGACAGTTGCGGCGAATGCGATGAACTTTTCGGCGCTCAGTCTGCAGCCGCAGCCAGCGTCAACAGCAGCGACCAACAACAACAACATTAACATTAGCAACAACAACAACAACAACAACATTAACAGTCTGAATAGCTTAAATCACAGCAGCGGCGTCGGCGTCGGCATCGGCTGCAACAGCGGTCGCCGCAACATTTACATGGGCAACAGCTATCCGCACGCCATGGACTGTGATCCGCCGCTGGCGCAACAGATGCTGCCGCCGCCGCTGCCGCCAGTATCGGCTGTGGCTATGGCAGCGGCAGCGCTGCGTCTTGGCCAGCCGCATTTTGGACGCATGCGCAGCAGCGGTGTCGGCGCTGGCGTTGGCGTTGGCCCGCATCAGAATTTCAGCAGCATTAAGCATAACGGTGCAGTGCAGCCGCAGCCGCCGCCACCGTCGATGCTGCTGCCGCCGCTACCACCCGCCGCACATCAAATGCAAATGCAACCGCAGCCCCAGCCGCATCACAGCTTTGCGCCAGCTTCGCTGCCGCTGGACCTGATGCATCATTACGGCAACATGTCCGCAGCTGCGTCGCATCTGATGATGACAGATTCGAGCGTTATCAGTGCCTCGGCTGCCGGCGGTCCGGCTGGCTCGGGACCGGCCTCCTATACGGCGCTGCTTTATCATCCGCAACCGTTGGCGCCGCTGCCGCTGCCACTGTCCATGCCGCTGCCAGCATCTGCATCAACGTCATCATCGTTGGCTGCGCTGCCAGCATCGGCAGCAACGTCCGGCAGCGGCAGCGGCAGCTCAGCAGCGGGCGCCAGCAGCGATGCCTCCTCGTCGTCGCCCATGGTGGGCGTATGTGTTCAACAGAATCCTGTAGTTATACATTAGCGTTACCTGCCGTCTATATAAACTATAATTTAACAATTTTATTTTATTTGCTTTTTTTTTTAAACCACACATACACACACAAACGCACGCACACAAACACGTCTGAGCCGCTGTTGTGCTCCTCTCTTTTTGTGTGCTGCTCTTCCGTTCTCTTAGCTCGCCAGCAGACACTGCTATTTATTGCACATCCATCCACCCACACCCACACACACACACACACAAACACAAACATTCATAGCTAGCTAAAATTTACACACACACACACACACCGCATCGGTTTATTTAAATCACGCTCTCACCATGCAGCCGTCTCGCTCACACACAAGCACACACATCGCTTATCGCGTTTACAGTTAGCAAGAGTGTTCTTATGAATTAGAACAGTTTTTTTTTTTTACCTAGTTTTAATTGCATAACTTTAATGTAACCATAACGAAATAATTTTACTTATACAGAATCAAAAGTAAATTTTATTTAATTTTTAATTTAAATTATGTAATTTTATTCAAAGAGCAATTGCGCAGTAATTTTTCAAATGAAATCCAATTTTGCTTTATTTAAAAGCAACAAAAAAAAAAAAACGATTGCCACAAGTTGTATATTTCGTTTCCTTCTGATCTATGATCTGACTTAAATGAGCACCTGGGCACGATAGTGCTTCTGCAGCTTGTTCGCCTTGGTGCCCAACTGCATCTGCCACTTGGACTGCACGCGCTTCATGAGATGAATGTCGCGCGCCTTGCGCGCCGCCGCCTGCTGTTGCGTCTGCGTCCAGCCGAGCGCCCGATATTCGCTCAGCACGCGATGCAGCTTCCGATCCGATTTCTTGAGCGCAACTGCGCGCGTCGGCTGCAACCGCTGCTTATAGTAGCGCAGCAGCGAGCGATGGCCGATAACTGCGCCGGATGGCAACACCAGCTGGTACTCGTCCCCGTCAAGCAAATCGGGCACAACCTCTTCGTCAATGTCCACGCCCTCTTTCTGTGAGCGAAGGAAGAAATAGAGAGGGAGAGAGATTTACAATAGGTGGCAACTCATTAAGCAACGGGATGAAGCTTCGCTCTCGAGCTTTGACTCAAATTGGACCAATCGAATGTGACGTCACAGAAAATTCGAGTCTTATTATCGATATCGGATAACTTGGGATACGTACATGATCCGGATAACTGGCACTGTAATCATAGTATTCGGCATACTCGGCCAGGGCGACGCCTTCGTGCAGCATCTGACAGTGTCCCTTATCGACCATATGTTTGCGTACAGCATCCAGGGAATAGAAGGTCTTGCCACGATCGTTGCACCACAAGCAAATGAAGTAGTTGGCCACCTTTTCGCCCAGGTAGTAGAGCAGGCCCTCAATATCTGTGCAGTAGTCGGTGTCGGGTATGAAGAACGAATGCTTGACGGACATATGCTTTAGGTTCTCCACCAGATCCGCGCTCTGATGGCTGCAGAACAGGCAATCGCGTTCGGTCAATGGATTTTCGGCCAGTTTTTCCCACTCATCCGAGTCGATCTGGAAAAAGTAGCGCTTAGTTTAATGGCATTCAGCTAGTGTTTAGCCGCAGACACTCACCTCCTCCTCTTCGATGTCCTCGAAGTCATCGTCGTCGCCCTCCTCAGCCGCATCCACTTGCATGGCCCGGTCCGCAAATGCCAGACGTCCCTTGCCCGCGGCAGCTGCCGCCAGCGCGGGATGTGGCCGCGGCTCGACAATGCTCTTGACGCAAACGGAGAGCGCACCCGACGTGGTCGCATCCGTTGGTTGCTGCTGCTGCTGCTGCTGCTCGAGTCGTGCGAGGGATTCCTTGTGCTTCTTGCTGTTCAGATGATTGTTGTGGGCCTTCTGGTTGCCGAACTGCTTGCGGCAGGCGGTGCAATAGACGCTCATCTGCTGCTCCTCGATGGCTGCCTCCTCGGCCCTGCGTGCGCTCAGCACGCGCTGCTGGAACTCCTCGGCCGTAACGGGCGGCAGCTGCGCCACGCGCCTCTTCAGATTGTAACGGTGCCAGTCGGTTTTGTAGTGTTGGCCCTGTGCATCCGCATTGGCGAAGCGCGCATCGCAGTTCATGCACGTGAAATGCGACATTTTCTGATGGCTTCTTTTTATGTGTCTGCTAACTTATCTGATTTTGGAATTTCACAATGAGTTAATGATTAAAAAACAAAAGACGCAGCACGTTCCTTGAGACTGTGTTATCGATAAGGCGATAGAACGTGACGAAATATCGATATGCTAATGGTAAGCACAAGCTGGAAGCTGCGTGCTGTGAGACTCCGAACCGTTCTCACTGCATTTCTTAGCATCTTCTTGTTCAGCATGCGTCTGTTAATCGATTCACATAATTCTCTCTCTCTCTCTCTCTCTCTCTCTCTCTCTCTCTCTCTCTCTCTTTTACCTTTCATAATGAAAATAATAAGGTATAGTAAATAAAATTAATCTTTAACCATATAAAAATATATAACTATTTTGTTTAATCTAGAAGTATTTTCAACTATGGCAATACCGAGCGTTAAGAAAAGGCAACACGTCTGTTAGTCGATTGTTAATTGTTTTTCTCTCTTTTCACCTTTAATAATGAAAATAATAAGGTTTAGTAAACAAATTTAATATTGAACCTTATAAAACAAGAAATATTTTGCTTAATCTTAAATTATTTATTTTTGGTTATGGTCACACCGTGCGATAGGAAAACGCATGCAGTGGAAACGCAGCATTGGCGCGCACAGTTGTTATTCGATTCGATAAAAGCGAGTACGATGCAAGCCTTAAAATATTTGCACCGGCTGTCGCGGCCGCTTGAGCAGCTTTTCATTAAATAATGCAGTGAGTAGCCGTCAGCGCGATGGGCGAAAAAGCCAAGCTAAACAAGTCCAATTGCAACAGGCGTTCGCGGGCGAGCAGCACAAGCAGCGGCCGTGCGCCGCACCAGCAACCGCCCAGCCAGCCGCTGGAGGCGCCCAAGATAATCATAATTCATCCGGGCTCACAGCATTTGCGCATTGGCCGCGCCGCCGACCTAAATCCGCTGACAATGCTGCACGCGGTCGCCTACAGGCGCTCCTGCGTCCAAGTCGGCGCCGATGCGCCGCATCACGATCCGCTGCTGCCGCCGCTGGACAGCGTCCACGCTGCACGCCTGCAGTCGGAGTTCGAGGAGCAGCGCCTGGCCGTGTCGCGGCTGCTGCAGCATTGCGTGGTCGATGAACAGAATCGTTTGCGTGTCGCCACGCCGCCGCAGCAGCTGGCGCACTTCAATCGCAGCAGCGTTGCGGAGCAAGTGCCGCCGCCCGTGCCCGCCGATCAGCAGAACAGCTGGCACAGCGAGGCGCCCATGCTGTTTGACGAGCAGATATTGCGTTTGAGCGGCCAGGATGCACAAAACTACGACATACACTTTCCCATCAGGCGCGGCGAGCTGCACGTGCATGGCGAGCGCGGCGGCTCGTTGCAGGCGACGCTGTCACATTTGGAGCGCATCTGGTCGTATGCACTGGAGCGGCGTCTGGGCATATCGCTGCGCGAACTGGACACCCACAGCGCCGTCCTGGTGGTCAACGATGTCTATGTGCGGCGACATTTGCGCGAGGCAATGACCCTGCTGCTACAGCGACTGGGCTTCCAGCGCTGCTTCCTGGTCCAGGACAGCGTGGCGGCCACCTATGGCGCCGGCATTGGCCACGGCTGTGTGGTCGATATTGGCGCCCAGAAGACCTCCATTGCCTGCATCGAGGATGGCATCTCGCAGCTGGACGCCCGTGTGCGCCTCAGCTACGGCGGCGGCGACATCGACCAGGTGCTGCTCCAGCTTTTGCGCAAATGCGGCTTCCCGTATCGCGACTGTTGCGTCGAGCAGAGCTATGTGGATGCCCAGCTGCTGGACGAGCTGAAGGAGCGCTTCTGTCACCTGAATGCGAACGTGTGCGGCGCCCAGGAGAAGCACTTTACGCTGCGCCAGCCGCACGGCCAATGGCTGCGCTATACGCTGCAGGTGGGCGACGAGGCCATCATGGCGCCGCTGGCGCTATTCCACACCGAGCTGCTCAATATAACGGGCAAAACGCGCGCCGTGCACACACAGCAATCGGCGCAGGAGCAATACGACTGCGAGGACTGCTTCGATGCGGAATATCTGCGCGAGACGGGCCGACGCAACGGCGTCCGAGCCGGCGAACTGAGCATGGCGGGCAACACGGCCACGCCCACAGTCAAGCCGGCGGCGGCGGCGGCACAGCTGCCCATCACGGCCGACGACGAGGAGCTGATTGTGGTCGACCAGGACGAGACGACGGTCAGCAGCAACAGCAACTCACAGCAGCAGCAGCAGCAGCAACAGACACAGCAACAGCAGGACAAGCAGCCGCTGCCCAAGTCGAGCAATTCGTGCTACTACAATCCGGGCGGTCAGGTGGTCTCGCTCGACCAGGCCGTCATCCGTGCAATCGGTCGCTGCGGCAGCTATGAGACGCGTCGCAAAATGTTTGGCGCCATTCTCCTTGTCGGCAGCAGCGCCAAGCTGCGCGGCCTCGCCGCCTGGCTGGAGCAGCGCATCAGCCAGCAGGTCCCCTCCGGCCTCGAGGTCAACGTTTTCAGCAAGGGCATGGATGTGGGCATGGTCGCATGGAAGGGCGCCGCCATAATGTCGGTGCTGGAGTCGGCGCGCGAACTCTGGATCACACAGCGCGAATGGCAGCGCTACGGCCTGCGCATCCTGCGCGAACGCTCGCCCTTCCTCTGGTAGCCAGCCCATTATTCGCCAGATTCTTAGCTATTAATTTAACTAATTTTGTTTTTTATATCGAATTTTTGTGTAGCCAATTCAAATTGTGTATTTATGCATTTAACTAATTGTCGTAAGCATCGCAAATCATGTGCCCAATCCCGAGCTAACGTGTCTGGCTGAGGGACATGCTCGATGACATGTCAGCTATTTCGTCTTGTACCATAATTCAAATACACGAATCAGCTACAAAAAGTAATGTCAGTTCGAGCGTGTGGCTTTATGATTAAATATGTGTATTAATATTAATATTTTTTTCCAATTCTATCTAAACTATGTATCAACTGCATGAGATCCCACAGCCCGAAGTTTAGTATAGCTAGATCTTATACATTTTCGAGAATTGCTTAGAAGACAACTTCCCAATTGGAACCAATTGGAATCGTAGTTGGACAGCGACTGGTGTTGGTAAGTGCGCATTATTTAGTGCAAGGTCCATCTCTAAATGGCGCAATGTGAGATAACGATAATGTTATCGAAGATCATTGCACTCTTTCAAGATCTGCGGTAATTTTGTAAATATTTTTTATAACATGCACTCGATTTTGGCCACAGCTATTGCTTGATAAGCCTGTCTATTTATACACTCCTATTTCGTCAGGCACTACCAAATTTAGTAAAAAAAAAGTGTTCGCTAAGGCCCAAATGATCGTTATCGAGATCTCAAGCGCAGCAGTAAAAGTGGTTTGATTATAAAAAGTTTACACATATAAAAACATGTTTATATTTTAGCAAAATAACAACAACAACAATAGTAAAAAACTATGCCAAATATTTGGGCGCACTGGAGCCCATATAATGGTAAAGATCGCCCAAAGTGGAACGGACTAGTTTCGCTTTTATGGTTGCCCGATTGAGACGCTTGTACGCCTCGAACCGATGGCAGCCGCCAAAGCTGAAGTAATAGTCGCCCCCCTCGCTGCCGGTTATCCACAAGATATCAACCGGCGGCACATCGACCTCGCTGCGTTCCGACTGCAAGCAGAGCAGCAGAGAGAGAGAATTGATCAGCTGCGGCTGCTTAGTAAAAGCGTCCGGATACGCACCTTGATGGTGTCCATGAGGGACTGCACCTTCAGCTCGTCCAGGACGGAGGGTATCGGTCGCTTAATGACGCTCATCGGCACATTGTGCACCTCGTCTATGCCCGCCGAGTGTACGCTAGAGTCCAAGCTGGCCATTTGCTCGCCGTCGTCTGGAATTGGTTAACTTTGTCAATGTTGTAAAATGCCATTGCAGCTAACTGTCGGCGTTGCCACCCCGCTTACCGTGCTGTGTTGTGAGCGATCGCCGCAATTGCTGTCCGCTGCGAGAAGAAGAAGAATAAGAAGAAGGAGCTGCTGCTGCACTGCGTCTGCTCGGCTGCAAGGCGAATTGCCTAATGAAGTTCATGACGCGCGGGCCAGCCAACAAATTGCACGCAAAACTTGTTTCTGTTTTTCTCTTTTCAATGTGTATGTGTGGCTTGTCATACTCTCGTTTGTCGTTTGATTTTTTGCTTTTTTGCCTATTTGAGTTTGTTTTGCATAATCGACAATCTTGTTGGCCCACGGCCCCAAGTGCAGGCAGCCATAAACAAAGGCAGGCGCGTTCTGATAAAAGTCAATGAAAACGAAAACGAAATTATAATTCAGTACAATGTTCGAAGGCTTGGTTTGTTTTTTGTACATATACAACACAAATACAGGCGTGCATCTAGAGATGGGCGCGTGCCGACCAGACACGAGCACGAAACCAAACTTTCACAGGCACGCACGACGAAAATATGCCAAAGGCACGAAGCAAACCGATCGAACCACGTTCGAGAATCACTTTAATTTTGACATGCGTAAAATAGAATTTTATTCAATCAAATACTAATTAATCAATGTTGAAATGTGCGTGATTTCAGTCACAAAGCTAGCTAAATATTTTTCATTTCTATATATTTTATATGTATTCTACTTCGAACAACTCGAATGTCATGTTTTATCGACTTGTTTGCTTTGGAGCGAGAGTTTTACAGCTTGTCGTGTCACGGCCCATGCCCATCTCTAAAAGCATGTACGCGAGCGTTAAACACGAGCATATATGTATGTATGTATGTGTATGTATGCAATCTCTCGCACACAAATAACGTTGTTTTTACCAAACGGTTGCCTATCAGCAGATGTAGATAAATACATATGTATATAAAAAACAATGCTGGCGGGGGGTAAGTGGGCGCCAAATCAGCTTTACCTGCGCATTATCTACAGTTGAAACAGCAAGAGTTTTATTTTTAATTTGCCTACTGATTAGTGAGAATGCGGCAAATGTTTACAGCACTGGCTGCTGCACTGGCCGCTGTGCAACACTGTCCAACAACAAACAATGCGGCGGTAAGTGGGCACATATTCTATAAATACAACACGAATAGCTTATTTTTGATCACTAATTAAATAAAAAACATGCATGCTTGCAGCACTGGCCACACTGGCTGCTGCACTGACCGCTGTACAACACTGTCCAACGGATTTCAATTCAAATTGAAATGCGCGAATATATTGTGACAGTTGGGTTAAATTTGATCATGGGACTTGACCAAGGCGAAATGTTTGCACATGAAACGGGGCCAAGGAAAGAAGCGATGCCATTTTTTTTTTTCTAGATGGTTTTTCCCCTGACATTGAATCAGCCGTTGGCTGCGGTTAGTCGAGCATTGGAAATTAGAATTTTGTCTATTTTGTGTATCTGTGTGTATCTTGGCGACAAATTCTACTGCAATCGCGAACAATCTTCAATTAACCATTACGAGTTGTACGACAAGCGAATTGCGAGCAATTTCATGAATGTTCATTTTGCTAACCGCTTACAAAAAGGTAACCGACGGCGGAAATCGATCAACAGTTATGTGTTGGCATTGCCGCAGCGAATATACATAGTACCAATTCGTAAAGCTATTTATTTTGTTTCTCTCTCTCTTAGTTTCTCACTTGGTATAATGCAAATCAGCCTGGTCAAGACGATTGTTTTGATTAGCAGCCTGATTGTTGTGCAAATCGATGGCATACAAGGTGATTCACGATAACCGATAGTCGATTGTTATCGATAAGCGATAGTCGATAGTTATCGATAACTGTGCCATTCTGGTCATTGCAGACGCCGACGGCAAACGCATCGTCAGCAATTACGAGCGCATCAAGCAGCTGTACCCGCAACTGACATCCGCGGAATCGACACAATGGCGCTACGCGGACAAGGACCTGGAGCATCCGTGCAGGCGCGACTGCGTCGAACAGCAGCCGATGACCTGCTACTACTATATGGTGGTCCATTATGACGACACCATGTCGGAGAGCTGCAAGCGCTATCTGCAGTCCAAGTATCGCTACAGGCTGAACGGCAAGGAGTATATCGATAGCTTTAAGCTGTCGGAGCTGGACTCACGCAGCGATGACTGCAAATACGCTGACGGCCTCGAGTCCCAGATCATGGTCGTCAACGGCCAGCTGCCGGGCCAGTCGATCGAGGTCTGCTACGGCGACACCATCGTTGCGGACGTCATCAACAGTTTGCACGAGACGACAACGATCCATTGGCACGGCATACACCAGCGCTCGACGCCGCACATGGACGGCGTGCCGCATGTCACCCAGTATCCGATTGAGGCTGGCCAGGCCTTTCGCTATCGCTTCGAGGTGGATCACGGCGGCACCAACTGGTGGCACAGCCACACCGAGCATCAGCGCGCCTTCGGACTGGCTGGCCCGTTGATTGTCCGCCAGCCGATCAAGCTCAATCCGCATTCGCATCTGTATGACTTTGATCAGTCGGAGCATGTGATCATGATCCAGGATTGGGTGCACAATTTCGATGAGAGCGTCGCCGAGAATATTCTGATCAATGGCCGCGGTCGCAACATGAAAAAGGACAGCAAGGCGAAGCCGACCCTCTATGCCACATTCGGTGTCATTCGCGGCGGTCGCTATCGATTTCGTGTCATCTTCAATGGTGAGTCACAGGTACAGTGCTCCCTCGATAGTCGCAACTTGTATAGAAGTGGGGTGACAAACATTGCTACCATAAATTGACTCCATTAATTCGCCTCAAAACCCGTTAAGACTTGATTCAAGCATGAAATTCGAATATCAAGCATAACTTTTTAAGTATGAAAATACTTGAATCAAGCTTTGTTTGTTATTACGCTGAATTTAAGAACGGAATGGCATTGAATCAAGTTCTAATGTAAGACGAATACAGTCCCAGTTTGAGGTTTATAAACTCCATTAATTCGCTTCACAAAATAGAATCAGTGTTCCATTGCGCGAGCGATCACTGTAGCTAGCATGGAACTCGCAATTAAGTCGAGCGCAGCTTACAGTTATTCTAAGCTCCAACACACACACGCAGCACACAGACGCGCTCGCTTGGGCTCAGCCGCAGCCTCGGCTGTTAAGCACACTAATACACACGCACACACTTACTAATATTAAGGCTTGGATTTGCTTGCAGGCGTTTCGAATTGTCCGATCAGCCTGAGCATTGACAATCACGACCTGGTGGTGATAGCGAGTGATGGCAACGACATCGAGCCGGTTGAGGTGCAGAAGATCATGTTCCATGGCGCGGAGCGTTTCGATTTTGTGCTGCACGCCAATCAGGAGGTGGCCAATTACTGGCTGCGCATCAAGGGCTACAGTTTCTGTGCGAAGAATCAGCTGCATCAGGAGGCGGTGCTGCACTATCAGAACGCCGATCCACGCGATCTGGACACAACAACGCTCAGCTATGCGTACGATGCGCCGGGCGTGATGCTCAACGAGCTGGGCGACGATGCCGCCGAGAGCATCTCGCTGGTCAGTTTGAATGCACAGCATGTCCAGCCGGCGCTGAATCCGGCCGTGACCTACTACAGCAGCATGAACGCGTTCGAGCTGCGCGGCGAGGGCTTTCGCTTCCAGATGGACGACATAACGTTCAGCATGCCGAAGATGTCGCTGCTCCAGACGCGCAATCTGGGCATTGGCCGCTTCTTCTGCAACAGCACGCAGCAGGCGGCGCTGGGCTTTAACTGCAAGAGTCGGCACTGCAAGTGCTCCAATGTCATCCATGTGCCGGCCAACAAGAATGTCGAATTTGTCATTTCCAGCAAATCGAATACCGCCCATCCCATACATCTGCACGGCTATACGTTCCGCGTGGTCGGCATGGGCGTGCTCGGCGAGCAGCGGATTGGCCAGATTGAGGAGATCGATCGGCGCACGCCGCTGCCGCGTCGCGGTCGCGGTGCGCCGCTCAAGGACTCGGTGCAGGTGCCAGCCTTTGGCTATACCATCATACACTTCAACTCGGACAGTCCCGGCTACTGGATGTTCCACTGTCACATATCGCCCCACTCCGAAAACGGCATGGCGGCCGTTGTTCGCGTCGGCGAGGATATCGAAATGAAAATGTGCCCCGTCAGCAATTGTGGTCTCTGCAGCTCGGTGGCCTAATCAACCTTCAATTAATCAAATATATATAACATTTCCTATCAATTTAATTGCCCAAATAAACCCTTGAGTTTAGTGGCTATCGTTGGCGATAGTTCGCCTGCAAACCAATTCGTATTTAAATTATTTCATATCAATTAAACTGTCCAAATAAACCGTTTAGATAAGGCATGAGCATGCCGTTAACCAGTGTTAATTAACATGCTAAAATCTGTTAACGATAGTTAATCTGCATAGCAACATTTCCGTTGAACATTTAAAAATACGATACTTTTGCATGTTTCGATACTAACACTTTCATTAATGATAGCTTTAATATATATTGAGATCAGTTAGCATAGAAACAGACAGCTTCATCGGCTCGTATGGTAATAATTAAATACTCTCTTCTAGGCCATTGAAATCGTGGTGCAAGCTGCACACAAAATATCGTGCTCATGTTATCGATAGCGCGTTATCCTTATATCGCATCTGGTCACACTTGCTAATCGGACAGCCGCCATGGAAACTCTCCTCTTCGCCGTTGATGGACCCGCCATATTCGAATATCGGACACTTGACCGAAAACGAAAGTTTCCAGATGATTTGCTGCAATGGCAGACACAATTCAAAAGAAAACTGAGTCTACTGATCAACTGTGAAAAACAAAAAAGCAAGGCAAAGAATGAAAGAATCGTGTACAACTTTTTCGGGATTCGAACTGTTGTCTTGATTGACCATTAAAGTTGATCGCAAGGAAGCGCGAGGACTTGGAACCCGTTTTTCACTTCGATGTCTCTATATCCGATACGGAATTTTATGTTATTGATGAATCCCTAAAAGATAATGGCCCCAAACCAAAATGGCGTCGACTACATAAGAACGAAGAAGCCTTTTTATATTACCACCTAACGTCAATCAGCATTGACGTTATCGGAATCAATATGCTCAATATTTTTATTATTATGTCAATACCTATATTATATGTTTTATCCATTCATGTTATACCATTTTGCATTCGTAGGGATGCCTACTATCAATCTGCATTCAAACATTTTAAAAATGGATGGGTTAAAAAAATTGGTTGACCAAAAACCGACTCGTTTGTAAAGTCAACCTTTTTTGATGATTTTTTTGAATATCTCGGCCAAATAGTGTTCGATTTGGGAATTTTATACCTTTTTCGACTCGTAAGGATCAGTACTATCGATTGGCATCAAAAAAATAAAAATC